CCCCCCCCCCCCGCCCCCGCCTTGAACCCTTCACTGGAATGAATAGCCCACCCGTGGAGGCCTGGTATAGTGGACGCTGTAGTGTGCCCCTCAGATTCAGCTTTCGGGGCTGAGGCACCCCCTTCTTCCCCAGCTTCAGGAAACAGTGGCTCCCGACTGCGTCCCTCTCCAGAAACTGCCCTCAGTCAGAGGGTGCCGATTCCTATGAAATCATGCCTCCTTCCCCGGAGCAGTGGATGTCCAATGCTGGGTGGGGGCTGTAAAGGCTCTCCCTCCCCTTCCCCTGCTTGGATATCTCTAAGGGCCATCCCAGCTCCAGAGCTTTCTGGCACATCAGCAGAGATCATTGTTGACTGCAACTCAGGGCCGTTTCTCCCCTACCCAGTCCTGCTTCCCTTACTCCTTATGGGGACCCTTCTCAAGAGCTCACTAATTTCCATCTCAGAGAATGCTTTCTGGGGAAGCCAGTTTAGGATGCCTGGTAACAGAATGGTTAGGCAGCCAGCCCTGGTTCAAATAGAGATCAGCTGTTCTTAGTACCATGACTGGGGCAGAGTTACCTAACTTCTCCATACGATCGCTGTATCTATAAAACAGGAATGACGCTGAGGCAATAAATAGTCTCCTGCGAGTCTTGTGAGGATTAAATGAGAGGATGTATGCATGTGCCTGATACTGAGAAAGCACTCAGTAAACATTAACTATTACTGTCTACATTTAGCTTCTCTGAGGTTGAGGTAAATGGGGAGATTAGAGTACTGTTATCTGTGTCATGGGGTTCTTGGCGAGAATCAAATAATATTGAAAGGCAAAGGGTTACATTCTGTCCTGCTGTGACCTAATACAGACTCAGGGGTCAAGTTCCATGGGGGCTTTCCCCATCTGGAGCTGTAGTCTGGAAGCCTGACCCCTCCCCCAACCAGTGACAATCACTGTTACCTATCACTGCTATAACAAATTACCACACATTTAGTGGCTTAAGACAACACAGATTTATTATCTTACAGTCCTGTAGATCAGGTGTGGGTCTCATTGGATTAAAGTCAAGGTCTGCAGGCTGTGTTCCTTTTTGGAGGTTCTAGGGGAGAATCTGATTCCTGCTCATTCAGGAAAGTTGGTAGAAGTCCGTTCCTAGGGTTGTAGGACTCAGGTCCCCATTTTCTTGCTGGCTCTAAAATGAGGGTTGATCCTGTCTTCCGGAGGCCAGTGCATTCCTTGGCTGTGTTCCCTTTCTTCCAACCAGGTGACAGGCAGGTGGGGGAGTTCCTATGGCATAGCTCTCTGATCTTCTTTAGTCATCTTCCACTTTTAAGGACTCATGTGATTAGTTGGGTCCACCTGCATAATCTAGAATATTCTCCTTACCTCAAGGTCCTTAATCACATCTGCAAAGTGCCCTTTACCAGGTAAAGTAACATTCACAGATTCCAGGGATTAGAACATGAACATCTTTTATGGGGGCAAGAGGGGAGGGCATTATTCTCCCTACCACAGCCAACCAGCACAGGACAACTCTGATCCAGAATTCACCTCCTCTTCTTCCAGGGAGAGGTCTGTGCAGTTCCATGTGCCACGGGGACCTACGGCCCCAACTGCTCGTCCGTCTGTACCTGTAACAACGGTGGTACCTGCTCCCCCGTGGATGGCTCCTGCACCTGCAAGGAAGGTGATGTGCCTTCTTTTCCAGTCCCACCCTCCTCAGATGTGCACACTGCCCGAGTGGGCTGCCAAGCTGAGGAGTCTGGGCTGTTCCTGCCCCATCCACCCACGTGCAGAGTCAGGGAGTTTATTTGTCAGGTTCCAGCCAAGGAAACCCATGCCAGGGACTTCAATAGCAGGAATGTAATAGAGGGGATTAGTTACAGTGGTGTTACAATCGCTGGGGTAGCATACAAAGGAAGGCAGGCTGACCAGAGCTTAGAAGCTGTGAGAGGAGTTTCCACCACTCCTGGAGGGGAAGGACAGATGGAGGAAGTGGAATTCTAGAGCCTGGGAGTGAGGGCCACTGGGTGGGAGCTGGCACGTGGATAGAGGGGTTGCGTGACAGTGCTGGAGCACGGTGGAGACCCAGCCATCATCAGAGGCCCTGCCTGCAGCAGAGAAAGGGGACAAGGTATGTGACGTCTCTCCTGCTCCCCTACTGTGGTCTGTGGGCCAGGTCACCCACTGTGAAGCCCATCTGGGAGCCAGCCGAGGGAGAACCTGGGGTATGTGGCAGCAGGGATCAGCCCCCTGTGACACAGATCAGAGCAGGGAGGGGGAGAAAAGGATCTGAGAGCCAGCAGACCAGTGACCAGCCTCAGAATGGGAAACCAGCTTGTCCTGGAAAAAAAGGGCCCTAAAATAAGCTGCCGGATTCCACCCTGGGCAGAAAATAGCCCTCCACATCTCAGCCGGTTCCCTGTCCCAGGGGGGATCAAGCACTTACAGCACGGGCAGTGAGAACTGGGAGGCGGGAGACCTGGGTTCTCCCCCCAGCTCTCCTAATAGCCGTGCTGTGTTTCTGAGCAGACTCCAGGTGGAATGTGTCTACTCACCCAGCAATCAGAGAAACAAAGGTTTAGGTGGCAGGGGCCCGGCTGAGAGAGGGGGCAGAAGGCCGTGCTGGGCCCAGATGGAGCGGTGACAGCCCTGTCCCTCCCCGCAGGGTGGCAAGGCCTGGACTGCACCCTGCCGTGTCCCAGCGGGACGTGGGGCCTGGACTGCAGTGAGAGCTGCACGTGTGCCAACGGGGCAGCCTGCAGCCCCGCCGATGGCTCCTGCTCCTGTGCCCCCGGCTGGCTCGGAGACACCTGCGAACTGCCCTGCCCGGTGAGCGCCCGGGGCAGGGAAGGACCGGGTGTGCCCAGCAGCCCCTCTCACCCTTTCCCTGCGGTCGTTCTGTCCACGGAGGTGTGCAGACAAGAGCCCTGGACTAGGTGGTGGGACACGTGGGTTCAGGGCTCAGCCCTAGTTCTAACCTCTGTGGCCACTTTCCTGCTTTGGGACCTCAGCCCTTTCCTCTAGAAAATGGCAGATCTTTGGCAGATGGAGTGCCGTGGCATCACTTCCCCCTTGCTGTGCTTGGTTAACATTATTAATTGTCTCTGGCACATTTCCCTGAGCCCATGCGCAGCCTCAGAATCCTTCATAACCCACTGCTACAGGACAGCCATTACTAACCCCTCGGGGTTGCTGTTCCTCAATAATTTTATGATCAGGGTATGGGAGGACAAAACCAAACACTCTTCAGCAATAACCACCCAGACTTAATCACTGGATCTTAGTCTAAGATACGAATAAGTTAAACCAACCACTATGTGATATTGTTGAATGAGGCCTACAGTCCTGGGTTCAAATGCTGACTTCGCCACATCCTAACTATGTGACCTCGAACATGTTACTTCGCCTTTCTGACCCTATTTCTCGTCTTTAACTTGTGAATATAATGGAACCATCCCAAAGGTATGCTGTGAGGATTAAGAGAAATGAGTGATAGAAGGCTCTTGACACCTAATGAACATGCAACAAAAGTCAGTTGGTACCTTCTTGCCTAGGAATAAATAATAGATCAGTCATTCTTCACATGGGATCGATGCATTGTGATTTACAAGGCGCATTCTCATTTACAAATTTGTGTTAATGATCATTAATTACATCCTTTCGAGCTTGACCATCGAGAACCCCACATTTCTGTGAATGCAGCCAAAGAATGATTTGGAGTGACCTCGTGGCCATGTCGATCACCAGTTATAAAAAGTGCTCCCACTGCGCCCCGGCCACAGTCTCTTTGCATCCCCATGGGGCAGTGGCTCAATTTTGTCATCAAAATCCAACAGAAGTGTATGAACCTCTGGGAGTCTAGGTCTGGTCATTTCTCCCTCCCCTTCTCTCCACAGGATGGCACATTTGGGCTAAACTGCAGTGAGCGTTGTGACTGCAGCCATGCGGACGGCTGCGATCCTGTCACAGGCCACTGCTGCTGCCTGGCCGGATGGACAGGTAACTGCCCCCTGCCTCGCCACCACCCAAGGCCTGTGAAACTAGGTCTTTGGGGTTGTACTTCTCTTGACGGTTCTTTTTCACTTCTTCCTGCTCCTTACATATGCACCTTTCCCTTATCTCCTCTGGGCCCCACTTCTCCATTCCATACAATTCAAGCAGACAAATTATTGAACATCTATTATGTGCAGGCTTCGTTCTGAAGGTCAGGAACATACCAGTAAGAAATCAGACAAGGGTTGAACACATGGTGGGTGTAGGTGCTGAATCTATATTCACAGAGGATATGGTAGGGAGGAGGACGGGGACCTTCCGCTTAGCTCCGGCTCATATTCCTGGTTCAAAATGTATCCTTCAGTCTGCTTCCCAGACATAGAGCAAATCCATCCCATTGCCATGATCCTGGTCCTCCAGGCACCATCTCCCAGCTGGCCCTGCCTTGGCCTTCTACTTGCTCTCTCTGGGCCACCCCTCTTGCCCAGCTGCATCCGTTATGCATACGGTGGCCCAAGTGAACTTCTTAAAACACAGCTGCATTCATACTAGCCCCTGCTCAAGAGTCCTCAGTGGCTTCTCCTGGCGCTTACATAAAATCCAAATTCCTTACAGTGGCCCAGGGTCCGTACGATCTGGCCCCCGCCCACCTCTGCCACCTCCCTTTTGCCTCCCCCCCCTCCCGTCTACTACCCTGGAGCATTTGGACCGACCACTCTCCTGACTCCAGGCCTTTGTACGCGCCTTCTTTCTGCCTGGGTCACTCTTTCCTTTTCTCTTCACCTGATAATGGCCTTCCCCTTACAACAGGCCAAGACTACATCAGAGCCCCTTTTATTAATTCTCATAATATCCCACACTCTTCTTTTTGCCGTACTTGGCTCACTCGACACTGAACCTGTATCAGAGTATTTATTATTCGGCTCCCCAGCTAGACCATCAGCTCCCTGGAGGCAGGGCCTTGTTCATCACTGTATCCACCGCTTGCCACCCACTGAGAGACAGAGGCCATGTTGGTCAGGAACACAGACCTGGAGCCAGACTGCCTGGGTCTGTGACCTTGGGCAAGTCCTTTAACCTCTCGGGGTCCTGAATTCTCCATCTATGAAATGCAGATAATTCTAATCCTCCCGGTTGCAGGGTCATTTTGAAGTTTAAATGAGTGAATACTTGAAAGTGCTAAATGTGCATGGCACTGTGCTCAATAAACGTAACGCATGAATATAGGAAGTGCTTAATCATGCTGTGCTGCGGGAATGAAGTCGGTCCCAAGGTGGTGGACAGAGGAAGAAAGGCAGGCGTTGCTGGCAGTGTAGGTCTTCAGATAATAATTCATACCAGGTTGCTGACCAGCAGAAAGCCAAGGACATCGCTTCCTCTGCAGCATCTCTGACCTGGCTCCTCTGCCCTGCCCCTTGGTACGGAGTGAGACTCCACCCTAGTTACTGGCACCCCAGATGCCTAGCTGGAGCCAAGTGGAAATCCACTTTAATTTTTCATTGACTTGATTTCAAGCGAGCTGGTAAGATTTTAATGATATCTAGTGCTTAAAAATTCTGTCTTTGATGGACAACTTTTCAGCAAGCCCTCTGCTGTTCTAAAGCTAATTTCTCCAAATGCGGCCCTGAAGTCATTTCAAAGGAGTGATTGATGTCCTGAGGTTTGTCATGGAAAAGGGGACCGAGGAAGGATAAGGAGGGGATGGGGTGTAGGTCCCGGACATGCACTCAGTGAACCCTCCCCACCCACACCTGCCCCAAGAAGTCTCTCCCTGACTTCCCAGCTCCTGGCTCATTGCTCATGCTTGGACTCAATACCGGTTTTGCTCTGCCCTAAGTATGTGCATGTCTTCCCCCTGCCTGCATAAGCCAGACTCTTTTGGCAAGTGCCATCACATCTAGTTCCCCTTGGCCTGTACCTAGTCGGTGTTTATTAAATGCTTATTGAAGTAAGTTGAAAGAAGGTGGGCTATAACCATATATGGGTTTTCCCCTTGAAGCGAAGGAGACCTTCAAGATGATCTACTGTAACCTCTCAGATTACAGATGAGAGGGAGTTGTCCCAGGTCTCAGAACGTTAGTGCCAATAGGATGGGGACACAGGATTGCATTGTAAGAAGGAATCATCTATTCATTCAATTAGCATTTATTGACTCAAGCAATCACCATAGTCCTTACTTGGCAACTACCATGTACCCAGCACTGTGTCAGTCCTAGCAGTAAACAGCAAAATTCAATAAAGCAGTAGTTCCTGCATACCTATTATGTACCTGACACTGTGCTGGGCACGGGAGAAGCAAAGATAACCAAGATGGCGTCCTGTCCATTAGGAGCACCAAATAAGGAGGGTCAGAAGTGTCAATAAGCCATGCTCCCTTCACATTGCTGCCAGGGGAGACGAGCCTTATGTACGAAACATTCAAATAATAGGCAGGGACAAAGCTGTAGGCCACTGACTTTCAAATAGATGCTTGAATCCCTGGGTAGACATCTGGGAAGGCTTCCTGCAGAAGGACCCTAGGCAGACCTTGAAGGGTGTGGGCTGCTGAGTCGCTGCTGGCCTCGTGGCATGAATTTGAGGTCACAGTACATGAATTGTTTGCCTGGCTTTACCCATCAGTATAGATGAAGAGGGGGGTCCCGAAAAATACAGCAGGGAAGGACCTCTAAGGGAGATTATTATCCCTATTCAACTACTGGGAACACAAGGCCTAGATAGGGTAACTGATGAAGCTGTGCATTTTCAGAAGCTGTAACTGAAGACCCTCCCACCAGGCCAAGGATCTGCTCCTTTGGCCCTCCAGTAGAACTGGGGCACTCCACGCAGGGGCAAACCCTGGGCCCTTCTCCCCACTCAGATCCCAGCGTCTCGAGCTCCAGAGAGTTCTTAGGACATAGAAAAACCTCCAACAGGGGCCCCACTCCCACAGAACCAGGCCTGTAATATCAAAGTTGCCAGATCCTGAAACCCAGTGGGCCCTTGCTGACACCTGCCGTCGGCATAATCACCTTGCACTGAGAGCCATCTCAGGCCCCAAGAAGGAGGACCCCTTCTTGACATGAAAACATGTTGAGGATCCCACACATGAGAGTAGCTGTACTTTTAATATCCATTGGTTGGGAGAACGCACAATAGCCACAAGCTGCCACGAATTCAAGGGTGCTTTTGTGTTTATTAATCACAGCAGTATCCGCATACGGTTTCAGGAAAGAGCAGTGTGTATGTGTGACCCGTGTGCCTTGGTCAGCCTACAAAAAGCACTTGAGGCACCGATGGGATCAGAGGTCGCCGTCGGGCAGCAGAGCTCTGCCTTAGTCCCGGTGGGCCTCCCGGGAACAGCAGAGTCCCTCGGCCCACAGTCTGATCCTGGGTTTCCAACAGAAGATTCCTTGGAGCAGGTCACAGGTTTCGTGTGCCTCCAGAAGGGGAAACTTGAAGCGGTATCCAAAGCTTTGAACAGCTTCGTGGCCCTGCCTTCCCCAGGCTCCCCTTCAGTCAGTCAATCCGCGGGGTTGGTCCAGGGTCAGCCTCTTGAGCCCTTGAAACCGCACCGGGAGAGGCCTCCGTCAAGGGGTGGAGTGTGCTGGCCAGATTCCCCCGCGCCACGAAGAGGCCTCATTTCCAGGAGAGCAGCATCGGAAACCCTTGCCCTGCTGGCAAATTGAGATGTCACAGGGAGGGGGGCGAAGGAGGGAGTGTATGCACTGGACTAGACAGGCACCGAGGGTGAATGAGGCCTGTCGTATCCCCTCACTCTCTGCTCTCTCTGGCTGTTCGGTCCTCCCTCCTTCCCTCCACTTCCCATGGGCACAGGGGGCCTCTGCAATTCCAGCCTGCCTCCAAATTGGTCCCACTGCGCTACTCGTGCTAGGGCTGGCTCTCGTCACTGGGCCTGAGAGTCTTCCTCCCTCTCTCTTTCTCTTTCTTGCAACCCCCGTCCCTAGAACAAGGCAGACATGATCTTCAAGCTAATTCTGTTCTTCTCTGAGCCTCTGATACTCACCATCCAAAGCCACGCCAGTTTCCTGGGGCCCACACCCATCTGTTCACCTAATGCATGTCAGACTGGAAGTCTTTCTGCCTGAGAGGAAACCCCACCTCTCAGCTGGGGCCTCGGGCCTTTTAAAATTCATTCTTAGCCTTTGGGCTGCCATCATCTCAGTAACTTATTTGCTCTGTCTCCACTCAAGAAGACCAGGTAGGCCTTCCTCCTCTTTCTTTCTTTTTTTTTTTTTTAATTTTTTTTTTAACGTTTATGTATTTTTGAGACAGAGAGAGATAGAGCATGAACGGGGGAGGGTCAGAGAGAGAGGGAGACACAGAATCTGAAACAGGCTCCAGGCTCTGAGCTGTCAGCACAGAGCCCGACCCAGGGCTCGAACCCACGAACTGTGAGATCGTGACCTGAGCTGAGGTCGGACGCTTAGCCGACTGAGCCACCCAGGCGCCCCTCCTCCTCTTTCTTAATAGAATACATCATAGCATAGAGAAAACATCGGAGTGCGTCACATACAGTGACAATAAAACCTCATTTTGCAAAGTGTTGGTTTCTATTACAAACATGTGTGCACATATGATATAAAATCCACTTTGCACCGAGGGCTGTGGTCAAAAGGATCTGAAAAGACCCCACCCACTGTCTGAGCCCTCACCCTAGGGCTGGTTGTCTGGGACCCAAAGGACCAGTGGCTCCTGGGCCGACATGGCCACTAGGCAGGGAGCTCACTCGTGGCTTGTGCAGCCCCGCCCTGTAACAGCATTCACCTGCCCCAGAGTTGGTTTCTCTCAAGCCTAACCTTGGATACCAGCTAAGATGTCAAAGATGAGGGTGGTCCTTCATGACCTGGTCCCTTCTTGGTCCCATAATCCCATCTCTTGCCATACCTCGTTTTGCACTTTATGGTTCCGCCACGTTATGCTGTGTTTTCTTTCAAGGCACGATTCTCTCTCCTGCCTCCTACGCTTTGCACAGAGGGTTTCCTTTACCTGGTAAATCCCTCCTTGGCCATTAGGACTTAGTTTGGGCATCTCCTCTTCCTGGAAGCCCTCCCTAGACCAGCCAAGTCTAGATGGGAATTTTCCTCTGCACTCCCAGATACACTGTGCTCACCTCCACCACTTTATTCTGCATGGCGCCCCTTCCCATCATCCTTCCTTCTGCCTTCACTCCTCTTACCACTGACCTGAGTCTGCCTCTGGCCCACAGGCATCCGCTGTGACAGCATGTGTCCACCTGGTCGCTGGGGCCCCAACTGCTCCGTCTCCTGCAGCTGCGAGAACGGTGGCTCCTGCTCCCCAGAGGACGGGAGCTGCGAGTGTGCCCCTGGCTTCCGAGGACCCTTGTGCCAGAGAAGTAAGATGGCTCACCCTCTCCACCCCTTCCCTGTTGGAACTAGTCCTGGCCTGAGAGGGGCTAGGGTCTCAGAGTCAGCCCCCATCAAACCTCTCCCTCTAGTCCCCTCTCTCCCTGCACTGGCTTTTCTGTCCCTAAGTTCAGGGCCCAGCCTGGCTCCTCAGCGGAAACAGGACCAGACCACAGCTCCTCTCTGCAGGAGGGGGTGGGCCCTCGAAGGTGTGGGGTGGAGACAGCTCTCCGCATACCCCTGAGGAGCCTCTCTGCATCCCTGTGTGGAACCGGCCAGGTAGCCAAGCTGACTGGGGCCCCTGAGGCTGCTGACCGTCCTCTCCCCTTCATCCTCAGTCTGCCCCCCTGGCTTCTATGGCCATGGCTGCGCCCAGCCATGTCCCCTCTGCGTGCACAGCAGTGGTCCCTGCCACCACATCAGTGGCATCTGTGAGTGCCTCCCTGGATTCTCCGGAGCCCTCTGCAACCAAGGTAGTGTCTCCAGGGGAAGGTATGGGCCAGGGAGGCGAGGCATCCTGGGAGTGAAGGGGCTGGCAGGAGGGGTTTGGGGCTTCTCATCATGCTCTGTGGAGGCAGCTCCCTGCATCTTCAGGGCGTAGGCCTACCTTTGTGAGAACTGGTCACTGCCAGGCATGAGACAAAGCCATTGCGCAGTTAAAAGGAACAGGCTCAGAGAGGTTAAATGACTACTCCATGGTCTCACCACTAGAAAGTGGCAGAGCTGAGAAACAAATTCTGACTCCAAAGCTGAGGAAAAATGAAATAAGCGTAGATGAGTTCTGCGTAAGAAGCGTCCCCGAATGGCTTCTGCTGAGTGCCAAGTGGTAAAGGCAGAGGATGCTGTGGGAATTCAGAGGAGACAGTTCTGGCATGGGCTGGAGATGGCAGCTTCCCAGCCCTGCTCCCTCCACACTCAGGCCAACGTCACTGATCCCTCACCGCAATTTCCCATCTCCACAGCAGCATCCTTCACAAGGCCAACTCCAGCCAGCCTCCGCCACTCAACAGGACTTGAAAAGGGAGATGATAAAGCTTATTTGCATTGGCGTGCTGCTAAACTGGCTCTCTGTGGGGGGAAAGCCTTGCTTTGTAACATTTGCAAGCAAGTTCTGCGACCTCAATGTCTCCGCCGTGGTTGATGCCACAATCCCAGTGGCTCAACACGGTCACAAAATTCTTGAGTATTTAGCAACCAGCGCGAAAGTAGAATGGGGCTCTGGCACACCCCGCTGCCTACTGCCGTCCCTGGCTCGGTTAGGCCAGTGCTCGGTGTGGATTTGGGGGACAGCAGCATGCTGTGCAGGTCTTCAGCTGGGTCTTAGCCTAAGAGGCAGAGAAGGAAGAAAGGTGTTGCGGGTAGAGCAAGCAGCTTGGGTGTGGACATGGGACTGTCTGGCATTAAGGGGGAGCTAAAGAACGTGGGGGCCGGGGATGGCAGAGGGGGGACTGGGAAGGTGTGGTCTGAGGCCTTCAGGACAGCTTTGAACGCAGGGGTGCAGAATTTGTACTCTGACCTATAGAAGCAAAGAGATCTCAGACTAAGGTAAACTTAGAGCTTAAAGCAACTTCAAGGTCATCTGCTCGAGAATCTCATCTGGCCTCTGCTTAGATGCTTCCACTGAGAGCTCACTACCTCCCAGGGGAACAGATTCTTTTGATGAATAATCACCACTGAGCTGGGCTGGTTTTGTAAGGCTATGGGCCGTTAATATGTATGAGTGGAAAGTTCATTCCATGATGCTTTGAGGTCATGAGAAGTTTGGGCCCCGGGGAAGCATATGTGACAGTTTCATTTGCTTGCAGCCCTCCTAGGACAGTTTAATCATAACCCGACGCGTCGAGGTTTACTTATTAAACATCGGAGACCCAGCCGTCAATACAGATAGGCTGGGTCTAAATTAGGACCTAAACAGCCCGCGGAGTAACTCTCAGATCCTGCGATGTCTGATTTATCGCCCGCTGGCCTAATGAGTATTTTCCACATATAGATCTAATAGAGTTTGCTATTAATGGCAACTGCCCTGGTTAAGTCTCAAACCTTGTAAAAAATTGAACTGACACTTTCTAATGACCGGCTTTCCAGCGAGTTACAAATTACAGACACTGCTTATGCAGAATCATTAAACATAGATTACATATAACCAGATGTTTTCTTTTCACCAGCCCCCTTCTCCACCGCCCCTCTTCTTGCCTCACTCTTGATTCAGCTAAGAAGTCGACCAATTAATGTATTAGACTGATCGCATTAGCGGCTCCGTGGGTGAATTTGTCAGCCTGGAGCGTGTGAGAAAGACTTCAAAGATAAGACTGTCTTGTTAGAGAAGCCCAGAGCCGGTTTGGGGGGTATGGGAGGTGGAGCAGCTCACCCCCTTCCCCATACAGGGCCAGGACTGGGGAAACGGGCTCCCCAAATCAAGCACCTCCCAGAGGCGGGGAAGAAGCAGGAACCTGAGCTGCAGGTGGCGAGGTGCAAGCCATCCGCCCTGGAAGGAGCTAAGGTTTCGGCCAGGGGAAGCGCAGGGCCCCAGATCAGCCCCATAGCTGCGAACTACGGCCTGAGCCCAGTGAATGAGGGTCACTAGCCCCATTTCTGAGATGAGGAAACAGAGACTTAGAGGGGTCACGCAGTCTGTCCAAAAGTGCTCACCGAGTAAGTGGCAGACCTTTCTAGCTGTGTGACCTTGGGCAAATTACTTGACCCCAGTCCCTCAGTTTCCTCATCTGTAGAGTTGATAATAGGGAGTGGTAATGAAAATACCTAATATTGAAAGTATTACAAGGTTGACCGAACTAGTATTTGTGAAGCACTTTGAATGGTGTCTCGTGCACATAAGTGCCTAGAACTGTTTGCTGGATACATAAATAAAATTAAGACCCAAACCCAAGGCTTTACATTGGAGACCCTGGTGCACCATGCTGCCTTCATTATTTGTCCCAACCACTGGTCATGTCCAGGAAAGGCATGAGGTGGACACAGATCCCAGGCTCCAGCTGCCCACAATCTGGTTGGGGAAGGGCTTGAAGGTGAGGCAGTGTGGCATAAAGGAGAGGGTGCCAGCCCAAGGTGTGAGAGACCTGGGTCCTGGGTAAGTCGCTTCTCTTTAAGAATCAACACTTTCCCATGAGCCTCTGAGTGACTTAGCTGAGGGCCTCGGACATTCAAGGGATTCCTCCCCCATAACAGGAATGCACGGAAGCCTTCTTGGAGGATTGTGGGGATGGCTACAACTGGGCTCTAAGGGGAGAAGGTTGCACCTGGAAGAGCTCAAAGGGAGAAGAGTCACTGGTCCCAGCAGAACCCACTGGAAGGTCACTGCTCCTGAGGCCTATTTTGGCCATGTTGGAATATTCTCTGAGTGTTTCCTACACATCAGACACTGCGCTGAGCACTCAGACGCAATAAAGAACAGGAGAACCACATTCCCTGACCTCACAAAGCCTATAGTCTAGAGGGGGAAATTTGGAGCTCAGCCTTCCCCAGAAGAACTTGGGAGTTGAGGGGCAACCAGTTTATTTCCACACATTCAACTACCCTGCCTGATTTTTCCAGGTGTTGTGGAAGACAAAGACATGGGTAGAACTCAGGCCTGGCCTGAAATAGACTCACAAGTTACAGTAACAGAAGACCAGGAAGAAGAAACTAACCGAGGGTCTGGAAGTTCAAACAAGGATATAGCACCCCAAAACCAGAGAAGATGGGTGAATCGGGATTTAGTTCAGCTATAAGTGACATAAAAAGCCAAAATAACTGACTTGAAAATGACAAACGTTATTTCCGGAAGAGAGAAAGAAAGGGAAAAGGAAAACGAACGAACAAGAAAGAAACTATCCAGAAGTAAACCATTGGAGAATGGTAGGGTAGCTTACAAAGTTGTCAGGGACCAGTCACCTTCTGTCTTGTTGTTCAGCCATCCTCAGTACATGGCTTCCACCTCTGATGAAAGCTAGCTGCTTAAACTCAGCCACCTTATCCACGGTTCTTATCCATAATCCACATTATCCTTCAACAAGGATGAGGAATGGGCAACTAAAGACATGCATTTCCACTTACCATTGGCCAGAATGTAGTCACATGGCCATACCCAGCGGGGCAGGAGCCTAAGAAATGAAGTCTTTGTGGCCATAAGCCCAGCTAAAACTTCAGATTCTACTTCTAAGGAAGAAGACAATGGATTATTGAAAGATTAACAGTCTACTACAGAGAGATCATAGGGAAGGTAGCATTTAAAATGAGTCTTATAGGGGCATCTGGGTGGATCAGTCTGTTAAGCATCCAACTCTTGATATTGGCTCAGGCCATGATCTCACAATTGTGAGCTTGGGATTCTCTCTCTCCCTCTCTCTCTCCCTCTTCCCTGCTTGTGCTCGCTCTTGGTCTCGCTCTTTCTCTCTCTCAAACAAATAAAGTTTAAGAACAAAATGAGTCTTCTAGGCAGGGTAGGATTTCCACAGCTGGACATGAGGGTCAGGGAAACTCTAGAAGGGAACAGCTGGAGTGAAGGCATGCGGTGTATTTAGAAAGTGTTGTGTGGGCCAGTGGCTTACGTGTCTGGGAGAGACAGGTGGTCAAGGGTAACCCAGGTGAGGTAGCTATATTTTATTCTGGGGAAGTGGGGAGCCACTGAGGATGTTTGAGCAGGGCACAGGAGTGCCATGAAGAAGAGAGCTCTGCTTTAAAGAGCTCAAGTTGTAGGAAGCAGGTGGAGAATGAACTGCAGGGGAAATGAAAGATAGGTGCTCAATTAACACTCAGACTTAGTTCTATCAGAGCTTATAGCCTGGTTGAGGACACCAGCCCTTCCTTTAGGGACCAAGGAGTGACTCCTCCAGGAGGGGTGAGAATCACAACCCTACAAGTGACTCAAGGTGGAAATAACCACAGGAGCTCAGTGGAAGAGAGCTCCTTGTGGACTCAGGAGGCTTGTCCTGAGGCTGAGCTAAGGCTTGAGGAACAGGTGGGATTTGGAGAGACAGAGGAAACAGGTGGGCAGAGATGGTCCTCCGACAGTCTAACTGCAGGCCAACCTGCCACCCTGCACTCGCCCCTCTGCTTCCAGCTACAAACATCGTCCACCCTCGTGGCTATGGGATAGTGATGCCAGCAAGAATGTGGTAATGGAAAGCAAAAGGCCATGGAGCCGTGTAGACTGAGGGCAGAGGCCAGATTCCCAGCCTCACCGCTTCCATCTGTGAGGCCCAAGTCAAGGGCCTCTACCTAGCCCTCTGGGCCTCAGTCTGGGCCTCTTTCGAAGGGGATCAGTAATAGAGCCTCCAGAAGAATGCAGCTGTGGGCACAAGAGGGGAACTCATTTCTGCGCACATGGAGAAGGGTGATGGGGCTGTGGAGGTGGGCAGTTCCCACCCAGATCTGTGAGCCCAGGGCCACAATGGCAATGGCCTGGGAACATCTAGGGGTGCAGCAGCTGCGGGTGGTGGTCTGAGGAGTGCAGGTGGGAGGGCAGGAGCCAGGCTGTCCTGTGCCCACAGTGTGTGCTGGAGGGCGCTTTGGACAGGATTGCGCCCAGCTCTGCTCCTGTGCCAACAACGGGACCTGCAGCCCCATCGATGGCTCCTGCCAGTGCTTCCCTGGATGGATTGGCAAGGACTGCTCACAGGGTAAGCAGCTGCCTCCTGGGAACGCCCCCCCCCCACCGGAAGTCTGGCCCCCTAACACACCCCTTCCTTGCCCAGAACCTCTGTGTCCCTGGTGCCTCCACCAAAATCTCCTTCTGTGGACAGGAATGTCCACCTGAGTCCCATTTAGCTCCATAGCTAACATGATGAGTCATTAGGATTGATCACTGGCATTATTAACTGTTGGTAATAGAGGTATTGACATTGTTGGGAGTACCATTGATACTAAGACTGAGAATTAATGCTCCGTGGGCACCTGAGCAAGGAGTAGCCCCTACGTTTGGTTGGGGAGGAGAAGGGGGCAGGGACTGGCTTGCTGGGGTTTGGGAGTGGGGAAGTGACGTGAGGCCAGGGCAGTCACCTCAGAGGGGTGAGGGGTCCCCTGAATGACCCATGTGAATGATGTCCTGGGCACATAAGCCTGGACAAGGAATTGTAGAAGCTGTTCTTGTAAGGTGTACCCCAATCCGATATGGAAGTAACAGGGACCACACCAGGGTGAAGGCCTAACCTCTAGCCCCGTGGAGCTCCTGGTGCGATGGGTGAGATGTGGCCAGTACCCTGAGGGAGGTCCCAGTTGGATGGCCTGGCCTGAGGGAATTTCCATTCTGGTGGAGGAGACACAGTGCCGTCCTCGAGGAGCTCATCAGCCGAAAGAGGGGAGTCCCCACCCTGGGAAAGTCCCCGTCGTCACGGGAATGTTAAGTGTTCACGCTGTAAACTGCAGTGTTTAGTTCACACACCCCCACACGCTCCAAATCACAGCCGGTCCCCCGAGAAGGGAAGTTCAGGAGCCCTCGGAGCTGGGCAAGTGGGCAGAGGATCCTGGGTGAGTGGGTCAGGAGGTGAGTGGAGGAATTCCGGGAACAGCGGAAATTCCACCTGGGTGTATCCTGGCATCTTGGCTGACGTGCAGTACCCCTTCCTCTCCCTCCGATTCTGTCTGCCTCTGTCTCACCCTCTGCGTCCCACCCATCCCCCAGCTTGCCCACCAGGGTTCTGGGGCCCTGCCTGCTTCCACACGTGTAGCTGCCACAACGGGGGACGCTGTAGCGCCGAGGATGGGGCCTGCCACTGCACCCCTGGCTGGACTGGACTCTTCTGCACTCAGCGTAAGTCCTGCCTCCTGGCCTCCCAGCTATTGGGGATCCCGTGCTGCGGCCTGCTGGCTGCCTTGAGCATCGTCCAGGCCTGTGGAGGGAGGGAGGAGGGAGGCCCCTGGGGCCGGAGCTGCCCCCTACCCCACCCCAGGATTGGGAAGCCTGGATGGATTCAGGGGGTTGATGAGCCCCAAGTCCTGGAAAGTCAGGGTTGTAAGGTACCCAGGCAATCACCAAGACCTGACCCTCTGGACAGTAGGGCCCAGAGAGGGAGGAACAGTCCGTGGCTACACAGCAAGGAGACCCTAGCCTGGTCTCTGGTTCCAACACACCTTTGTCTAAAGAACTCCTCACTCTCACCCTTACCCCTTCATGAAGCCTGGAGTCCAGAGTGTAGTGACAGCTGAGGTGCAGGGTTTCACAGGTCCCCACCCTGTGCTCAGAGAGAGGCAGCAGATGACAGCTTTGGTCCCAGCTGCATCTCCGTAGTTGTCCCCACCCTGTTTCTCCAGGCTGCCCCGCAGCGTTTTACGGGAAGGACTGTGGGCGTGTGTGCCAGTGTCAGAATGGCGCCAGCTGTGACCACATCAGCGGCAAGTGCACCTGCCGCACGGGCTTCACCGGGCGACACTGCGAGCAGAGTAAGCAGTCCCAACCCCTGACCCTGAGTGTTGGTGCCAGGCATCAGCCTCTTGCAGGGGAAGCCCCCCTGCCACCGCCCCTCAAAGTTCACTCATTCAGGGCTCTGCACCTCGTGTTCCCTGGATTTTTGGGGCAACTCCCAAGAAAAAAGGCTGAAGGTCATGCCTACATCGATGTGCCTGTAGAGCTTCTTCCTCCAGTCGCTGGGGGAGGAATGGAAGATGCTAAGGGCAGATCACAGAGGCCTGAGGGGGGACTGAGGGAATACAGGGAGACAGTCGTTTAATTCTTTGAAGCCTCCATGGCACCCAGCTCAGGGCCTGGCCTGTGAAAGATGCTGCATAAATGTGTCAGGTGAGGAGGAAGTAGGAGTGGGTGTCCCCCCACACTCAGGGCTAAGGTGCTCTGTCCACCGCTGAAGTGCTCCCACGGTCCAACCACAGTGGGAGATACAGGGAAATAGGTTTCACTCTGAGTTGGAACTGGCTAATCATAGCTGGCCACATATAGGATGGGAAGAGCGAGGATGTGTCTATCCGTCCCATTTCTTCTTCGCGCTACACAGGATGTGCCCCAGGAACCTTTGGCTACGGGTGTCAGCAGCTATGTGAGTGCATGAACAATGCCACCTGTGACCACGTCACCGGCACCTGTTATTGCAGCTCTGGATTCAAAGGAATACGGTGTGACCAAGGTAACAGGTGGCAGAGTCCCTAGGCAGGGGGCTCTGGAAGGGCCCCATGGAGACAGGATCTAAGGAGAGTCCAATGGAACAACTGGATTTTAGAAGGACAGTTTGTGACTTCGGTTTGTGCCCTTTTGGAAGGAGAGCAGGAGTGGGGTGGGTTGCAGAGCCTCCAGGTACCAGGTACTGGAGGCAGATGGAGCAGGAACCTCTCAGTCATGGCTTCCCCATGCTCATCCTTGGCCAGTTTGCTATGAGCCATACAAGAAGGGTAAGCGCAAGCTAGTCCTCTGGAAAGGCCACCAGACAATCGAAGATATGCCAAATTCTGGTTCTGCCATTACCGGCTAGGTATGCTGGACAGGTCATTTTATTTTACCGGGCTTATTTTTCCACATGCAAAGTAGGAAGGGTAGATTAATCCGTCTTCCAACACAACACGAGGTTCTGTTGAGGGCCAAGGAGTCCAAAGGCGCTCAACCTTGGTTCCAGCTCTATAGTCCAAGGACACCCCATAGTAATTATGAGGACCAGGTTGAGATGATAGTAGAGAACTCAGCACAGTGCCTGGCACATAAGCAAGCACTCAATAAGTGATTTTGTATACATAAAAACCCCTCGTGAATTGGTGCAAATAAGGGATTACACTGTTGTTTGTTCAAGATGGGGAATGATAATGGGCTCTCAGTTATCCACCTAACAGAAAGGGGCCCAAAAGACATTTCTATTGCATTCGGATGATCACAGAGAATGATAATGCAGCACATTTCCCCGAGGATGTTGACTAGCTCCGTTCACCCAGTTGCCGATAGCCAAGGAAAGGTCTAGCCTCTGCTGGGCGGCAGCATGCCCCCACCATGGGCTTGGCAGCAGTGTGAAGAGTTAGCCCATTCATGTATCACCAAGAGGGATGCTGTGGGCAGTCATCGGGCACAATGGCACGCTTTCTTGCCAGTCTGTCCTATGGTGCTCACAGTTCCCTGGGGAGGGTGAGATTATTGTCCCCATGTTACAAATGAACAAACTGAGGACTCAGAGTCACAAAGCTGGTAAGCAGGGAGATGCACTGAGTGCCATTCTTCCGAACTCCGGAGAAACCGGACTTTACCAGTTACTGGTTATGTGATCTTGGGCAAGTTATCTAACCTTACCGTGAGTCAGTTTCTTCATCTGTGAAAGGGAAATAATTAAATAGTCCTTACTCATATGGCTGCTGGGAAGATAAAATGAGTTAGTATCTGTAACCCATTTTTCGAAGAAAGTACTCAGTACACATTTGTTGTTATTTTATTTGCCATCCGTGATCACATTTGTTCTTGGTCATGACCCTGGAAGTCCATCTGCTGTAGACAGTTGAAGAACACAGGCGCGGTGAGGGACAGGATCACACAGGGATTGAAGAATAGGGCCGAAGACCAGAACCCAGGTCTCCTAACATTAGAGGAGTCTAGGCCCTGGGCCAAGATCTGAAGAGCAAGCAGGCCTCCCCCAGACTCGTGTCCTCCCTCCCTTCACAGCTGCCCTCATGATGGAGGAGCTGAATCCCTACACCAAGATCAGCCCGGCGCTGGGTGCAGAGCGGCACTCGGTGGGCGCTGTCACAGGCATCGTCCTCCTGTTGTTCCTCATTGTGGTGCTGTTGGGCCTGTTCGCCTGGCGCCGGCGGCGACAGAAAGAGAAAGGCCGTGACCTGGCTCCCCGTGTCTCCTACACACCTGCCATGAGGATGACCAGCACGGACTACTCACTCTCAGGTAAAGACTATGCCCCCAGCCTCACCTCTCCTGCCCCTCCCCACACATACACACACACCCCAGAGTCACATGGTATCCTTGGGGACACCCAGGTTGATTGTTGGAGGTGGGTGGTCGTGCTTGCAGGATCTCCTGAAGGCGATGGATGGTCAGATGCTCCTGGAGACAATGAGTGTGGGGAGCAGGAACCTACTTAGGAAAAGTAGATGGGGTTTTATGGGAATGTCACTTCCTGGGTGCCCAGCTTGAAGCAGCTATGATGAGGAACCTCCTTCCATTTCCCCAGAGCTTCCCATCTTTCTCACCAGGCTTTGGCCACAGGAACACCCATACTAAACAGAAACTTTCCTAAACTCTCCAAGGGAACCCCTCTCCAGCCCAGTGCCTGAGCTGCCTCAAGAAACTGGCCTAGGGCTGTGTCCGAGCCCTGTTCCATTTTTGCTTCCTTGGTGAAGGCCTCAGAGCAACCCTCCCTCCCAGTTCCCAGAGTTAGGAGTGCCCTGTTAATTTAATCCAGTGGAAGGGGATGGTGCCTGGCTCAGGGTAGGGAGAGAGTCTGAAAGTTTGGGCAATGGCCCAGTAGGTCCACAAATGTGGTAGTATCCCCAGGGGGTATTCTATCTAGAGTCTGAATGGGGTGGAGGTGGGGCTATTGGGCCAGATCCTTCCCATCTCCTGAACCCTGGACTGCTGCCTTAAAATGAGGCTTTTGGCTTCGTATTTACTTAAAGAGTTGAGGTCAAAATGCTTTGACATTGCCCACAGCCCTGGGCCACAGGAGGCAGGGCCTGTCTAGGTAAACACAAGGATGACTGCTCCCTCCAGCTGGCTCCCAACTTATGGCTGACCTGCAGCCGCTTGCATCTCGGATTTAGAAAACCAAGATCACCTCACCCCTTTCCTGCTAAGGGCTGCGTACCATGTGCCCACTCGATGCTAGGTGCTGCAGGGTAGACAGGGGTGGCCCAGGTGCAGACCCTGCCTTCAGGGAGCTCCTGGCCTGCACGCCTCCCTGAGTTTCAGCCAAAGCAAATATCCCCTGATGAAATCCCAAGCCCACAGCGATGATTTGGGGATTTTCTTCTATGACTATAATGAGTAAGTTTGGCTGGTTTTCCCACACCACTCCACTGGAATTCCCCAACACCGTGGAGGGGTGCTGGAATCCACAAGCGGGCAGGGCTGGGGCTAAGAAGAGAGGGGTTCTCTTTATGGCCTCACTCCTGGGATGTAACACTGGAGGGAGGCGGGGGGGGGGGGCGCGGTGGTCAGCACAGCGCTATGTAGCAACTGAGGGACATATGAAGCTGTGCGAGCCAGCACTCCTCATCCATGCTCTAGCTGCTGGGGCCACCTTCCACACTGGCAAGCCTGACCTGCATCCTACAGGGAGGGACACCATGAAGGAAGAGGCAAATCAGGCCCTACAGATTTATGTGGGGGGAGTGAATGCCAGAAAGCTTGGGGGATGGGGGACTTAGCAGTCTCTCTTTGCAGAGCACTCTCAAAGCTGCCCAGCCCAAGTGTTAGTATTGGGGTGTTCTGACGCCAAGGGCAGGAGTATGATGGTATGGCACCTTGTTCTCTTCCCAGATTTGTCTCAAAGTAGCAGCCATGCCCAGTGCTTTTCCAATTCCAGCTACCACGCACTGGCGTGCGGGGGGCCTGCCACCAGCCAGGCCAGCACTCTGGACAGGAACAGCCCCACCAAGGTACCGGGCCCCTGACTCCCCAGACCCCACCCACTATCCTCCCAATGAGCCCTCACCTCTGTCCAAGGAAGGAACTGCACCCCACCTGGAGGGTCCATGTGGAACCAACTGCCAGTACATTAAACACAGCCCTGTGATCCATGGGACATGTAAACACTCTGTGAAGCATAGGACAGGAAGCCAGCAGGTTACACAGAACCAAGTGCCACGTAACCAGCAGACATCACATGAAACCAACCTACAGCAGCAATCGGATATGTACCCGCACACCTGTGTGTAATGAACAGGTACCAACCCATGTGATCACCATGTAATCACATGTAGCCTCCTTGTCACTTTTGCCATGTAAGACATATAATCAAAACACTACATGCTACCCCACCTACCACCGATCACTACAGTCCATTTCCGACACTATGCATGCAACCAGCACCTTAGAGAGTAATCACTATTACTCAGGTACCCCTCACGTCCTAATATCTGGCATACACGTTACAACTACCTACCCACAACCATTTGTTTTGCAATCAGAACCAACACAAGGGACATGAAACCCAAACATCAGCCATAGCCAGTGTTCCCACTGACAGTGAGACCCACAGGCGTTCAAGGGCAGGTGTGCACCACCCTCGACAGGGCCCTCCCATCACAGCTCCCAGCATAACCCTGGCTAATGGCAAGACCTCCTCTTACAATCACAGGGCCTTGGGTAAGGATGTCTCAGCACCCATGTGTAGGGAGTCTCCCTGGTGTGCCAGGACCCATACTGGGCAGAGTGGGAGGTTCAGAAATGAAAAGGCTCATGCTGCACTCCTCCTGACACCCACCTAAGCATGTGCATGCATGTGCACACACAACTACACATGTATACATACAGTAGGACCATTAGGAGGGCAATCCCAGGCCTCCTGGCTTCCTGCATCATCTTTCCTGTGTGAGGAACACAGACAGAAGCGGTTTTCATAGTCTAAGCCTCTGCCCTAGAGCTCTGGGAATCCTTTCTCCCAGTCTGGCCCACAGAAAATGTCCACCAGTCCTCAGACCTGGTAGAACACAGCTTGAACCCCTTAACAATAACACACAGTTCAACCCCAGCGGCAACCACTGTCAAGCCAGCACCAAGGCCACTTTCTTCCACAGGCTCTCAGCCTCAGTTTTCCTATGAAATGGGAGTGCTGTATGCAGGGTACCTTGAGGCCCATAAGCAAAGTCTGTAGCCATCAACCCCACGGCTTTGGCCCTTTCTTCCCCTCCTCAGCTCAGACTCTCATTCCCAGCTTCAGCTTTAGGCTTAACTGAGGAGCTGGAAGCTGAGGGCAAGGAATCTGGATTTTCTTAGTACAAGGTCCTTGATTAACTAGAGCCACATCAAGGCTACAGCAGATTAGAGGCAAAAATGATGCCAAAGCTGAGGCTTTCCCTTGCTCATACAAAAGGAAGACTCACACACGGCCAGGTAGCAGAGGTGACAGTGATGTTGCAATCTCAGCACCTCTCTTTGTACTGAAAATGGCCCCGTGTTGCAGCTAAGACACTGGAGAGCCTGTTCTACAGCTCAGCCCCACCTACCTGACCTGCTTCCCCTGTCAGAGCCAGCTAGGCTCCGCCCCGTTCTTGGCTCTGTGTTCACCCTGCCCTACTTTGTCCTAAGGGCCACAAACCCTACAATTTCAGCCAGACAGCTTCGAAGGGGGCAGGTTCTGCTCCCACTGGTCTCAGCCATGCCATGCTACATGTAGCTCTTCCTTTCCCTCAACGATCTAAGACATAGGTGGGTCAGGATCGTCACAGGGGTGGGTGCACAAGGCTGGGCAAAGTGAAGGCTGGGCAGGGGCACCTTGGGAGCAAAGGGATTAACTTGCTCTCCTACTCTCCAAACAGCTCAGTAACAAGTCCCTTGAGAGAGAAACAGCAGGCTGGACCCCATACAGCTTTGTGAACGTGTTAGGTCAGTAGTGCTTTGAGTCTGGTCTCCTGCCATCATGTCCCACCTGTTCTCCTCCTTCCACATGGAAAGGGGCCCTGTCCTAACTCCAAGGGAGGTTAAATGAATCCTGAGCATGGGTTCCCCATGGAGAAGTGGTACAGGGAGGAAACCCAAGCCTTGGTTTCAGCTCTTATAAGCAAAGGAAGCCCAGGATGCCCTCAGGGGAGAGGGTGGCTATGACCCAGGGACCACAAAGGAGACAGCTAGAGCCTGGATGTGGGACTTCCAGATGCAGGCAAAAGATGCACTCACCATCTGAGAAAGGGACCCTTCCCTGAGCCAGGCCCTGCCAAAGTACTTCTTTTCAAGGACTGCTTCCTCTGCCCTGATGTCCTGATAGGCACCAATTCCTGGGGGGGGGGGGGGGGGGGGGGGGGGTGAGGGAGGAAAGGTCTATGGCCTCAACTCTAGCAGATCCCCCTGGCCCTAGCCCCTTTGGCTACTACCCATAGGGACCCTAATTCCTTCTAACCTGCCCCACCCTGACCCTCACCCCCTCCATACTCCCCACCCTGCCATACCAGGGCCCTGGGAATAATGGCTCCTCCCTGTCATTCCTCTCACTAGACTCCCATTTCCAGATCAGTGCCCTGGAGGCCAGGTACCCGCCCGAGGACTTCTACATTGAACTTAGACACCTCAGCCACCCCGCTGAGCCACACTCACCAGGTTAGACCCCCTGCCCTACCCCGCATTCCTGCCCCAGACTTACCCGCCATGGTCCCAGATCTTTCCCTGTTGGGCCCTCTTCCCAACATGGTTAGTCTACAAACCCAAAACCCTATCTAAAGGAAGCCTGCCTGGATCCATCCCCCATCACCCCTTCTGTTCCCATCATGGTCACTGGATATAGACAAACTGGTATTAGGTGAAGGGGACACATCATACTTATACTCCCTATAGACCACAGATTACAATCCCACACCATTGAGAACTTGAGTATGGAGCACCTCTGGGGTTCTCTGGGTCCTGTGGGTGTGGATGACAGAGAGTTGGCTCTCTGGTCTAAAAGCCCACTGTCCTACAGAGAGAGACCCCAGACCCACCAGTGGCTCAGGCCAAGCTCTCCGAGATCATAGGGTAGGGTTGTCGAGCAGGGATCTGGAGAGGCTGGGCAAGGAGGTGTCAACCGACATCCTCTCTGCTCTGTATTAGACTCAAAGCTGGTGGCTGGGGCAAGATGAAAAAAGGAGACTGGCAAAGTCAGTCCTGCTATGGGAGAATGTGGGTAGGAGTTACAGAAGTAGGTCCCATAGGAGTAAGCACAATGAATCAGCAGAGAATGTAGCGTCCCTGCAAAGTGGCCCCTCAAGGGCAGGGCCTTAGCATACTGGACAACCCTCAGGCTCTAGCTGGTTTCTAGAGCTCAAGGAAATGAAGCTCCACCAACCCCTGCAGGTCCCTGGGTGCAGTAGCACTAAGAAGAGAAAAGGTTCTGAATTCATCTGCCTATTGAGCAGTCGTGGGCTGCAAAGACTCAGAGTCTATACCTAGGAGGCTGTGCTCTTGGCTGTGGGCCCCCTCGGCCGTGTCTGGTTTCTCAGCAACCCCACCAAATATAATCCTCCTGCTCCCTACCCCCACCACCCTGCATCTCTTTCCACAAGGGAGCATCCTCTGGGCTCAGCCCACATTTCTCCCCGCATTATAGATCTCGCTCTTCAACCAGTGCATGCGGTGAGCTACATGCTATCATTTTTTGGCTTATACTAAGGCAGGCTGGTGGCCAATGGGAGAAAATAGTTAGGGAGATCTAGGTCCTGGTTTTTGTGTTGGGTAAGTGACTGTCCCTCTGTGGGCCTCTGCTTCCTGCTCCAGAAAAGGGAAAAGTTAACAGCCTAGCCTAGCCTCCCTCCCTCCCAGAGGGTGAAGGAAGCATAGTATAGGTATAAAGAGCTGAACTGAGGCCAGGGATACAGATTCTGAGTCATGTTTCTGAAGGACACAGGTACCTGCAGGCCCTTTAGAAGAACAGCAACCTAGGGGGAAACCTGGACTGGTTCTGCCCTATCACTCAGTAATGTGTGGAAGGCAGGCAGGTAAGAATAGATTCCTACAAATTCAACTTAGGAACTCTGGAGGAGTTATGGTATAGGGATGTATCCAAATAGTAGTGGGTTGGTCTTCAGTGTCTGAAACAGGGAAGAGTCAAGCGGAGTCAAAATTGTATTTTAGTCATTGTGTGCTGCATGCCTTTTTGCCTGGTATTGTATCCTCAGTTAAGCACTGAAAAATAATGACTCAGTTAAAGGCTGAAAATAATTACCAGAGTCATTACAGTCTCAACCTAAAAATGCCAGACAGCTTCTTCTCTGGTATCACCAGCAACAAAGAAGCTGAGTTTGGTCCCTGAAGTTTTATGTCCTGAATCTGGCTATGGCTAAGGACCATGCATTGCAGGAGCTGGATAAATTGTGACAGCCAAAAGGGAGAAAAATCTTTCAGACTGAAAACAGTGGTAATACTTGTCAAAGGCGCCTCTGTTTTGTGCAAATGGTCCACCCCCAAAAATGGGTAACTAAGAGAGACTATGAATAGAAATGACTGTACATCCTGGGAAGATAACTAATCAAGAATCTCAGCCACCAGTCCATCTCCCTCCCCGACTCCCCTCAGTTGAGCATCAGATCCAGGAGAGGAGGCAGGACCAGAGCTGAGAGGTAAGAAACAGTCTTCAACCCCATTCCAAAATCCAACAGAACTGGGATTTGGAATGTCATACACCCCTTCCCCAAGCTAGGAACTGGTACTGATTCATTCCTTATCCTGTAAGTCTGGAGCTTGGAACTTCACCTACAGTGACTGCGGGTGTCATGAGAACTGCCTCTGAGGACCTCACAGTTAAGGTTAAAGAGGAGAAGCAGTGCTGCATATGCCAGGGGGCGCTGTAGCTCACCGCTAATGCTTCTGATCCCTGTAAGAATTCCTGCCTGGTCAAAATGATTTAGAGTAGATTAAACCCAGAATAATTCTCCAGCACTTTAGCTAATTTTATGGGTAGGGGAGGAAAAAAAGGGAAGAAAAAAATAAAGCAAAAATGTATGCAGTCCAAGTAAACCTCACTCACCCCATTTTTCTTTCTTTACACTATTTTAATGCAGGTGCTTGTGGAATGGACAGACGTCAGAACACATACATTATGGACAAAGGCTTCAAAGGTAGAGTATCCAATCCTGACGTCCCATTAGAAAGGGCTTAGCAAGATAAAGAGTGCAGATCTGACATGACCAGGAATTCTACCAGAGACACTGCGCACATCTCTTCCCCTCATTCCCCAAAAAAGTAAAAAGACCACAGGACCTGGGGCTGCTGGGTAGCTCTGCTCAGGAGGAGCAATCATAATAATAATGAATTTATATTTCGATTTAAGTTGCACCTGCTTAGCAAGCGCTTGTGGGTTTTTTATAGATGCCAACTAAATGTCTTCGGAAATGTAGAATGTCATTATCCAACCAATTAGTATGAGTTAAATTGATTATAAAATCTGAAATAAAGTCAATCTACCCGCCCCAGAGGCCTCCTGTCGTTGTGCTGGTGAGGAATGCCACCCTGCACCTGCTGGCTTTCTGGAGCACAAGGAATGAAAATAATACCTAGTGTTAATACCGTATGGTACTCCACCCTTGACATCTGTGCCTCTGAAAGCAGGGAAAGTCAGGACTAATCCTTAGCACATGGGAAATGCGAGGTGGCTCATCCTTCTAGGACATCTGTGGGTGAAGCCAAAGATAAAGGTCAGGTCCTGCCCTGGGCTTAGGCCCTACATTTAAGTAATAGAATGTGTGAAATAGAAACCGTGTCACTTATTACTCTGTCAAATATTAATGGTGACCTTAGACTGGGAGCTCTCCAAGGCCTTGTTTCCTCATCTGCAAAGTCAGGATACTTATACCTGTCCTATTGTCTAATAAGGTTATCATGAGTAGCCAATAAAAAAAAAAAAAAAACCACATTATGGGAAGTGTTTTTTGCATATTGTAGAGGGTTGTACTAATGTAATAGGGCTGTCCTTTTGTCTCTTGAGGTCTATTTAGGAGTCTCAACCACACTGAGAGAGATGGCTGACAGCAAAGATTCCAATGGATATATCCTAGATCTAGCTGTGCACCAGAATCACCTGGAAAGCTTGTTAAACAGACAGTTGTCCACACCCCATCTTCCCAAGACTCTGAAGCAGATCTAGAGTGGAGCCCTGGAATCCGCATTTGTAATGAGTACTTCAGGATATTCTTATGCAGCACATCACCCAACTAACACTTAAGAACCACTGATCTAGACTGACCCAGATTCCTCAATTACTGGTTCTGGTCTTTCAGAGTGAGCCTTAGTTATACCTGAGACACAACTATTTCCTAAATAAGAAGAGCTAGTCATCTATAGTCTATAGCCCTTGGTTATTAGAAGTGGGGTGAGCTAGGGGTAGGCGATACTAAAGCAGGGAGGGCAAGTCTCCATGAACACATGTTAGGATGTGCACACCACAAGAGAACAATCTGAGGACAGAGGTCAACCCCTAGGCTCCTGGCCAGCCAAAGGACACTACTCCCCTAGGAGCATCAATTCTGGCCATTTTCTGCATATTAACTTAAACCATCCAAATGGAGGCAAGTACCATTACAGTAGTGAGGCTACAAACAGAAAAGAAAGCTCTACTGTTTTATCACTGTGACCTGGGACTTCAGTTTCTTTCTCAAAGATCTGGACAGCAAAGATCTCTTTAGAGACTTCCCAGTTCTCAAAATATGCATGACTCAGGCATGAATAAGCTCACACAGGCCCAAACACCTCAATAAAATGAGCACCCAACTTTCCTATGCACTTTATGATTAGGGTAACTGCTTTCAGACTCGCAACCATAAATGTCAAACAAAGCTAAGGAGGGCAGGGTCTCTGCCTCAGCGTCATTCATTCCTCATTTGTGGGATCATGTATCTGAGCCTGTAAGTGCAAGGAAGGCCAGATTTTGTTTTACCACTCTGGCTATAAACATCCTTTAAATTCGAGAAAAGAAGGCTGTCTAGGTAAATATGCCACCAGATGTTAGGAACCAACACATCAGAACAAGAGATTTCAAAAAGAGGAAAATGAAATGTCACAGTTTGGAACTTTACAGAACTATTTGCCAAAGTTATGGAATAAACCCCACTAACTGGCTGAACTCCCAATAAACATTTAATAAACTAGTCTGTACCAGGAATGATTACTTTCTAAAACTATTGGGCCAAACCAAATGAGAACCCTAAGAGTCTGAGTGTTCTCTGAACTCACTGGGAAAGAGCCTGGCCTGTAAGTTTTGGATTCTGTTCCTAGTTCTTACTGTGTGGCAATGACTAGGTCACACTGTTACTTCCTGAGTGTTGGTTTCTACCTCTGTTCCAAGGATGAGGTTGTAACTAGCCCCATCTCTAAGGCCCCCTCTAGGACCTTAATCCTTGTTACTGAAGACCTCCACTCACTGTCATCCTGGAGTTGCACACCACCACACACATTGCTGCACTAACCCCATTTTACCCCTAAACACCTGTCCATCTCTCCCCATTCTCCCCCTCAACACAATGATATTGTAACAAACTGCCTTGTGTTCAATTCCTTATCCGTCAGGCATTTAAAGGTGCTACAGAAGAAATCCTCCCCAGTACGCTCCATCACTTTTATGATCCTGAAATCCTGAATCCCACTGTTGCAGCTTCAGGGAAACTACCTGTATGCTCCTTACTAATCCAACCTCCACGTCTCTCCTTGCAGTTACCTTGGGCTGCAAGATGAGTTAGGAGTCCAGTGACCTCCTGAAAACTTTTTTCAGTCAGTGTGACTCTCCTTCTGACCCTGAAATCTCCCTTTTCCTCTCCCCATATCCTGGTCTCTCAATGAAGAAAAGAATGCCAACTTAGGGCCCAGGAAGAAAAAAAGCAGTGTGACTAATAATAATAAGCTGAGAAGAAACAGATGTTCAGTGTCTGGGTTTTCTAAGAGATACTGGCTTTACCTAGATGTTAGTGTGAACCTAAAAGCCTTCTAGGTTCCCACCCACAGTTCAGATCAGATCCTACTTACAGGATGGCCTCGGAAAGTCATTTCCCCTCTCTGGATTTGCCGCTTCCTTTATAAAATGAAGAGGTATAGGCTCATTTCCAAGGCCCCGAGAAAAAATGCTAAGGCATTATAAAGCTAAGTCTTTGGTCCAGATGCTAGTTACGGGCCGCTGAGGAGTGACTCTCCAAAGCTTAGGTGGCTTTGGTTGAGGCTTCCCCTTTCCTTGCAAAATGCCCTGAAGTGCAGGGACTGGCTAGTGTAGGGTGGGGCTGTAAAAGGATGGGGAAGTGCCAGAGAGAGGTTAGTTACTCTTCCCCTTACCCCACCCTCCCTGAGGGCAGGCAGGTAGATGACTCAGCTGGAGAAAAGAATAGCTTTCTAAAGTGTAAGTTTTTCAGCTAGCCTGGCCCTTTCCTCCCTCCAGTTCCCCAAAATAGAATCCAGATGATTTTATTATCCAACACCCTCTCTCACCCACCTCAACACATACATGCTTCTCCATCCTTTCTTTCACTCTGGGCCCTTTAGGAGATACAGCTTCTCCTTAAAACGAATCCCCTCCCCGAACCCCAACTTGTCTTTCATCCACTTAGGTGCATCCCCTGCTGCACAGCAAACTATTTACAGTAGTCCCCCTTACCTGCAGTTTTGCTTTCCGTGGTTTCAGTTACCCGTAGTCAACAGTGATCCAGAAGCACATGATCAAGGCCAATCAATAGTGGCCTGTCACAATGCCTAGGTCATTCACCTCACCTCACCATCGCAAGAAGAAAGGTGAGTGCAGTACAGTATTTTGACAGAAACCCCATTCACGTAACATCTATTACATTATATTGTTATAATTGTTCTATTATTGTTAATCTCTTATCGTACCTGACTTATAAGTTAAACTCTATCATCGGTATGTATGCAAAGGAAAAAACAACAGTATATAAAGGGTTCAGTACCATCTGTGGTTTCATGCATCCACTGGGGGTCGTGGACAAGTATCCCTGTGGATTGGGGAAGGCAGGAGACTACTGCATACCTCCAAATTTGAAGGCAGCCTTGATTTTTCTGGTGGAAATGAGAAGAGGGGCACTACTGGCTGACTGTGGCTCTTTTCAGCTTTGCTCTACAGCTTCAAGACTCCCCCACTGCCACAAATAAATTGATCATGGGATATCCACCAAAAGCTTAGAGCTTGGCCTTTCTCTCCCAGCAGGGCTTGGCCCCCATCGATAGAAGGTATTCCTCGTTGAGGGTAAAACAAAGCTGTTGTAGCTACAGTTTGCATTGAAAGATACAGAACAGGAGCACAAGTAACCAGATGGAAGGAGGAAAACACCATGACTAGATACCAGAGAAGATGGGTTGAGTCGTAACTTGACCACTTACGAGCATCAAGCAAACTTTATGAGCTTCGCTGTCCTCATTTCTGAAGTAGTAATCCTAGTCCTTCGTGTCCAGCCCTCTTCACAGACGTAACAAGTTTCAAATGACCTAAATGGAGTGAAGATACTAGCTATAAGGGCTACCTTTTTTTAGAAAACATGCAACTAAGGCACCCACCAATCAAAGTAAAAGGATGTGTCTGGGTGAGAAGGTAGGGGTGGGGTGTTAGGACTTTTCACTCAGGAGACAGCCTTTCTTTAAGCAATTCTAGTCTCAGCTTCCAACAAGCAGCTCTGAGTCCTGAGTACTGCCTTACTCCTTGGCTACCAAGTTCAGAGACCAGAGTGGGACCGATGGACTATGCTGGGGTTCTTGGACATACTTCCAGCCCTTGTACTAAGAAACAAAGTAGTAAAAAGGAAGGAAGGGAAGGAAAGAGGGAAGAAAGGAAAGAAAAAAAAAAAGAGAGAAAACAAAGAACTCAGTAGAAGCAGCTTTATGTGGCTCTGGGCAGGTTGTGGCCCAGGACTCACAGGACCTGCGTCCCCCTTTCTTCATGAGAGCCTCACCAACAGCTGGGCCTGCTCATTGTCTAGCAAGAATGTTTTCTCTCACTCCTCTCTTGGGTTCTATATGCTACAAAGAGGCCACAATCTGCAATGGGACCAAGGCCAACATCCTCTCTCTACCTGTGGGCCAGGGTGAGATGGAAAATGTTCTGAGCCTGGTTCTGGAGCATGCTCTACTACCGATGAGCAGTGTGACCCTGGGGAAGTCACTTCCTCACTCCAAGCTTCAGTTTCCTCATTAGCAATAAATAAGGGGAAGAGAGAAGAATTATTGTTCTAAGCTAGATCACAGGTATTGTGAACACTTGAATGAATTAATGGGTGAATGTACTTTTGTACAAGATTAAGGAAATGTTACCCTCTGAAACAAACATCGGTAACCCTGCACTAGCAGAAAAGGAGATCCCCTCCCACCCAGTCACCTGTTACAGGAGAAAAGACTGCTAGTGGTAGCAAACATCTCAACTTGCATCCACATGGAGTGTTCTGCTCTCCTTGGACCTAAGGGAACAGCTAGTCACCCCATGAGTTACAATGATCAATTTTTTTTTTTTTTTAACATTTTCATTAATCTCACAAGCTGGAGGCAGAAAGCATGTGATGGTTCTAGTGGAAAACTGTCCAAGAATTTCACCATCTGCTACCACTTACAGAAATTTAAAGCTGAGAAATATAGAAATTTCACCATCTGCTACCACTTATAGAAATTTAGACCTCTGAAGACCACTCATGACTGACAAGTCATGCAACTCCATGCTTATTTCTGGACCCCCTGGCTGGCAGATCCTCACAGAATGAGGGCCTGAATTGCCAGAGGAGAGAATCAACTGCTTTTTAAAGGCCATCAGAACAGTCTTGCCTCACTTGGGATGATCTAGAAGCTGCACTGATAGTCTCAGGCTGAAGGAGGGGCTCCCCTTCCCTTTTGTGACTCCCAGTCCCAAAGAAAACACTTTCTTCTTCCAGTGAGCCACAGTTACTTTGCCTCATATTTGGAATTCAGTTTGCATCCTTTTGTACCCTAACATACCCTGAAGTCTTGGGGATGATGCACTAGACAGGCAGCAGGAGAGGAAGCAGTTCTCCTGGTATCAGAAAAAGATACTGTCAAAATAGGTTTCAGTTAGCATTCACAAGAACTAAGGTAAGTGACCCCAGGGATACGCTGTGAGGCTTACTTGAAAACAGGAACTTTCCAAAGGCTAGCCTGAGACCCAGGTGCTTTTCACATCTCTATTACACTTCAGTCAGCCCCACCTCTGATCACAACCTTCTCAAGAGCAGGGATGCCACCAGCCAAAGTTTGCTGCCTAAAAGTTGCCCACACCTGTGCCAAAACACACACCTACTTCTTTTTGAATCTAAGCTTCTTAGTCATCAAATAGAATTCAGAGGAAGAATGATATCACAGAACAAACAGGCCAAGAAGTCCCAAGGCATGCATTCAAGTTTTGGCACTGCTATTTATGAGCTTATGTGACATCAGCCAAGTCACTTCATCTCTCTGGGGCTTCATCCTATAAAATACAAACTATCAACCATCTCTGAAGGATTTTGTAAAAAAGTAAATAATAGATGTGAAAGCACATTACAGATACCATAAAATAATCCTGTTCTGGTGCTAGAACTGACAGCCAAAAGCAAAAATGTTCCTGTCCCTCCAAAAATGTAGGTTTCTTTAAGAAAAGAACTCTCCCTACCTAGGAAACCACTCCAACATATTTAAGAAGGAAATCTTGGGTTATCACAGGCTTTGACAGCTCTAGGATCCTGAAGGCACATAAACTGCAATCTGTTTCCGGTATTGAAATTAAGTCTTATGTCCTCTCATGTCCTAAGAAATCTTTCTTGCCTTACAGATTACATGAAAGAATCCGTGTGCAGTTCTAGCACTTGTTCCTTGAATAGCAGTGAAAACCCTTACGCCACAATTAAGGACCCACCCATCCTCACCTGCAAGCTTCCAGAAAGCAGCTATGTAGAAATGAAGTCGCCTGTGCACAGAGGGTCTCCGTACACAGATATACCATCCTTGTCGACATCTAATAAAAATATATATGAAGTTGGTAGGTGTCTCAAATAAGTAACTTAGTGAAATCAGGGCAATAGTGCAGTATCCGAAGTCAAACAAGCCCTCTCCACTCACCCGGTCTTGAAAACACACCCTTCTTTTGTTGCTTTTTAAGGAATCCAAGGCGAACAGTCTTTCCCAGGACTACCCTCCTCTCTCACGCAGGAAATCAAATTCTCGTATTAACTGTGCTTGAAAAAAACACCAGGACTAGTATGAATCAGAAATGCTGGGGGGTGGGGAGTCAGTGGGTATATACACACGCGTGCACACACACACACACTTCAACTGATTGCTGATACAAATCCCAGTTTAAAAAAGAAAACAATCAGAACAGACATTTGCCAAGTTTCTAACCACCGTCTCCTACCTTCTTCGTTTCACCTATGTCTCTGGGCTCGTGGATGACACTCCTACCTCTAGGATATTCTAAACCTCTTGGTTTTAACCCAGAGCCTGGGATTCTAATAGTATACTCATTTAGGTTTTCCATTTCATGAGCAAGCCTCAGTCATAACCCTCATATATTTATCAGATTTATAAATCCCTGGCTTCTCTCCCTATCGAGTTAAATAGAACTCTTTACCCCCCAACAAGGCAACCAAAGCTAATCTGTTCTCTGAACTCATTTTTCACTATATTCCTTAGAGCCCACAATCAGTGTGGTCCAAGAAGGCCTCGGTCATAACTCCAGCTATATCCAGAATCCATACGACCTACCTAGGAACAGCCATATTCCTGGTCATTATGACCTCCTCCCAGTAAGACAAAGCCCTGCCAATGGGCCCTCCCAGGACAAGCAGTCTTAAGAGAGAAGCCTCTCTCTTGCAATGCGCTCTGCTGAATATTCTGACTCTCTGAAAGAAGACAATCCCTTGACTTGAAATAATGACACAGAATGACTTCAGCTGCGTGTTAGTTATTACTTTCACCTGGAACTAAAGAAGAGCTTCCAAGTGGGACTGAGGTCATTGTTCAAAAGGTCTGTTCACAAAGGCAAATCCTATCCACCCACCCACACCCAACCCAAAATACCCAGGACTATATAGGATCTTTTAAAACATTTCAGATACAGCTACTGAACATCAGCTAAATATATATATTGACATACTTAATCATCTGAAAATGATGCTTAAGAAAACACGTAGCATAGGTTTCACAAACTTCCTAGGGGGAAGGGGAAACTGGGGAGGGGAATGGGTTACTTTAAAGCACCTGAAATGTATATGTACTTTTGGTTGCTGTTACCTTCCACCTGTTTTATTACCTAAATAATACACAAACACAAACTGCTAATATCACCACTAAAGTACCTACACATGTATGTCTGATCCACCCATCACAATGGCCAAGATTACAGCGTACAGTCTAATACTGACAACTTCAATTTTTTAAAAGTAAGACTTTAATAAATACAGATGAACTTTCCCTCTTCTGCCCTTCGTGGTAGTAGGAGGGGGAAAGTTTTCCAAAGCGCAGCAGCAGCCTCTTTCAGTCTACAACGATTTCTAGGCCAGCTTTACCAAATCTTGCTGATTCAAGGTTCAACAACATTGCCCAGTCCTGGCCTTGTCATGTCTCCTTACTCCATCCAATACCTGAGTCATTCCAGGTGAACTAGAACTCTGAGATGATGTTTTAAGCAATCAGTCACAGACTGGTGTGAATTAAGCATCCCTAAAAACAGCTGTTTGGCCTCCCATATTTATTTGGTTGGCATTCCTCGAGTCAGACGAGTACTTGCTTTCAAGCATTTCTTTGTAAATCTTGAGCTTGATATAGTATAGGACCTAAAAGTGTAGAGGAAATTGGACAAAAGTGGATAGAGCAAGTTTAACAGTCTGCTTAAAGTACATTATGCTTCTTGATGGAAATGAAATGATCAAATAAAGACTGTAATCAGGTGCTGTAACATGATGTAAAACTTCACAGTAAACAGCATATAAGGGTATGAAGTGTTTCTACTGAAAACCACCACCTACTCAGAGGGCCAAAAACGTATCAAAACGAGCTCATGCTCCAGATCCCAGTATTTGGATGTGTCCATACCTCCCACTAGTAGTAAACACAGGTAGACGGGGGCTCAGGAGTCAAAATGGAGCCAATTCCCAAGCCCTAAAAAAGAGGACCTCCTCACAAGAATTCAAGACCATAAGGGCAAACCGAGGAAACTAAAGGCCACCCGTATACTACTCCATTCTGATAAGAGTCCAGCCAGTAAAAATTCCTTCCAAAGAGGTATACAGAAGAGGGACTCAACGGGTATAGAGCTGGCATATAGCTGCTACAGGAAGTGTGGGAGTTCTGAGGCCCTTGATACAACCTGGAAGTCTGCCATGGAACCCATTAGTTTGGGCAATAACCAGCAAAAGCAAGAAAAGAAATAAATGAGTAAATCCCCCTCCCTCACTTCACACAAGGCTTAAGCAAATTTTATCGTTAGGGGAAAATATAGAATACTTACATGAATGCTGCATGTGTGCATGGGAGCAAGTGATCAGCAATAGCAAATTTCCTTTCCACTGAAGCCTTACAAAATAGAAATACTAGAAAATTCCTTTGTAGACCCAAGTAAATATGTCTCATACATACATAGGAAGAAATAGAGATAAGAGACTTACCTCAGTATGTCAGGGCAGCAAAGTGCTCAATTATCTTTGTAAAGCAAGGATCAAGAAGCATGGTGAAGTCAGATCAGCCAGGAGAAACTTCATCTGAATCCCAGGTTTTATCTTCTTCCCCTACCCTGCATGTACAGTAACTGCTGCCTGGCAAACTGCAAACCAGCAGCAGCATTCAGGTTTCACCTCTTTTTTGCCAACTATCTCATGGGCAAAATTCGGCAAGAGGTAGTTAGCATGGTGGAATTGCTAAAGCGCTGGGTCAGGAGAGTTACTTGCCCTCTCTGGACTCCTTTCTTCCTTGTGTATTAAAAAGGAGAGAAGTAGAGGGTAAGGGAGCTCTCACAACCCCTCAGCTCTGGCATTCTATGATTTTTTAAAGAAATGTAATGCAATTAATATTAGGCAGCACAGAGAAGGGAAAGGCAGAGGGTGTGATTAATCTGTGGTGACAACAGCTGCCTTCACATATCTAGGAGTTACTGGTAAGAGACATTTGAATCTTACAAAGCAACTGTTAGGAACTTCCGTCTAGCACTATCACACACAGGTTCGTGGTCAACCTGTATATGAGCACTGTGCATTTTATTGGCAACTTGGAAAGATCTGTGTGATTATTTTACAGAAACTAGTTTTCACTCAAAGTGATGTGCATACAATTCAAACAAATAAAGAAAACACTATTATTGTACAATAGCATAAGTGAAACTATGAAATGGCAATACTTTTTTAAATAACCCAGATTTGTAATATATTTGTTCACTGTGCAGAGGAATCGTACCTTGTACAAAATAAAATGAATTTCTCGAACTAATTTAACAAGAATGCCTACTGTTGTCTTGCACATTGAAAATGTATCTATAATCTACAACTTAGGTTTAAAAGGCAGAACTAAACTATATTTTGTGTGGTCACTTTAGGCAGCCAGAAAAGTGAAAATTATCCCAACAGATACTTGAAAATAAAGTGAACAAGCCCTATCATATTTATGAGAGTCCCTTCTTTAAAGTAATGAATAGGAGTAACATATTCTTATTTATGTCCAAAGATTGAAAAATCTCATACACGTCAAATATTCAAATAGAGAATTTCTCTGCTTTCACAAAGACTGAACTCAAAGGCCTGTGCTCAGCTCCAGAGGCACAAAGGTACTTCTATGGAATGGAATAAAAGCAAGTGAAAGGGCCACCTAATTTGCATAAGTGCAGTGAATAGCTTTCCACTAGTAGAAGTTATCACCCAGTACATTACAGTGGGTGCATGTTTTAGGACCTTTTAAAACAACCTTGTGACCTAACTGGTAAAGAGGCAGCAGGATTAATTTTGTAGTAAAACACAGATGCTAAAAAAATAGCTTACTGAATGCTTTCAAAAGTATAAGTTTAAAATTCTTCCTTCATAGTTTCAAAGTTTGTACATAATCCTATTTAAGTCAAAGTAAAAGCTTTCAACTTATCAGTTCCCAAGGCTTACATGACACTCAGAAGTTATTCCCACTGAATAAAATGTTTAACCAAGAATAATACATTTTTGTTAGAGACTAAGACCATTCAGAAATGATCTTCCTAAGACAATTCTCAAGGGCTGGAGCTTGACTTCTCAGTGAAAGACAAAACATCAAGAGTTTTAAGGCTAACAAAGGTATTTACTGAGAACAGTAATATTAGATTATGACTTACAAGGCTCAGAATACTACCCAATACCATAAGTGATAACCAAAGGCTGCAGGCTGTACACTCAACACAGAAGATTCAAGAATGATACATTCTATGAGCCATTCATCTAACTGGACGGAAGGCAGAAGAGGCCCATTTAATTAGTATGTGACAACAGGAGATAGAAAAATCTTTCTCAGAAGGGATGGATGGGTACACAGGGATTCATTATACTATAATTTATACTTTATATAAATGCTGTATTATAATCATACCAATCATAATTTTACACAACTTTTAATTAAAACATTTTTAGCCTGAATGGTAACTTTCAAACTATAGCTCCCAAGCGAAACTAGAATGAATCCTAGGATTAGCCCCCTCACTCTTTTAGATGTTCCTTCTTTATTGTTCTGACATGGAGTAGTAGAAGGGACAGATATTAGGAATATAAGTATGAACAAAGTACATTCCCACACTTATGAATCTTATGCTTTTGCAACTAGAAAAGGGCAGAGATAAATGGAGGGCCCTAGGGATTAGTAGGGTACCGATTATACATTTTCTTCCCTGATTTGCAGAACTAGAAAGCAGTGATCCAATCCAAACCCACAGCAGATGGAAGCTCTAGTGTGTAGCAACAAGTTGTGAGATTTCCTCCTCATTCCAGCTTCTACCTCCCAAGCCATTATCTAGCCCAGCAGATGGCCCTCCAGAGCCTTGGATAAGAGAAAGCACAGGGACCTGAGATATTACAAAGTACTGTTATTTAGGCACCCACTTAAATGTAAACCAAAACCAGTAACTGATGATCCTAACAGCTCCTCCAGAGTTGGTCTCCTATCAAAGATAGCCTGCAGAAACAGTCTTGCTTCTTGGGGCTTTCCAGATGTCCCATGTCAGGCATGACCTTCTCCTATCATATTCTTAGGGCCGTGTGATGAAATGCTTTGGCATAGACTAAAACCATAGTCAACTTAAAGATAAGACAAGGATCTGAGAAAATAGTATGCTGAGAATGGAAGTTGTCAAGGGAAATGGGTCTACAAGCAATACTTACTCATTTTATTGGGATGGGAGTAAGAGGCAAGTCCCACTGACTCAAAGACAGAAAAGGAATCCTATTGGCTGGCTACTGATTTTCACCACTACTCTGTACTGGTAAGAGTAGTTAGCAGCAAATATGACGCCTGTGCTGGGACCTATCAATTCTATGCTTAATATTTGGACTATTAAACTAACAGCCAAATAATGCCATTCATGTTATGTGTATTTTGCCATAAAAACCTGTATCCCTGGACTTAATTATTGGTTTCTATTGGATAGCTAGTACTGTGGACTGCTCTACCTTCTTATAGATTCCTTCAAGAGATAATACTAAAAAATTAAACACAAAATGTTTTTAAAAGTTCTCTCTCTCAGACATGAATATATTTTAAAAGGTATATATGAAAAGCCAGCAGAACTTTAACAGTAAAAGCCAATATAAGCAGTTCTCAATTTACAAGTGACATAGCAGCCCATCATGTGCTCCCCACCCCCATGCCCCTTAGCACATATGGTACTCTGAAACTTATGGTAGAAAACCACAGTCATTTTGCAAATGTTCTGAAAGTTTTCATCTCACTGAATGAGGTTAACATGGAAATAATGATAACATTTTAATCAACTTATTGTAAGACCAAAAACATTTGGCAAAGTGATTTTTTACTTATCTATTAAATTTACGTTCAAGTGTATAATACTTTGACTCTACCACCTGAAGAGTTCATTCATAAAAAAACTGAACTGGAGCTGGGATAAACCCCAGGAATAATCTAACCTATTCCTCTCACTAATGGGAAGAAGGTGAGGCTCAGAGATAAAAACTTAAAGAGCTGCGACTAGAATCCTAGTTTTTGTCCCTCAGTCCACTGCTCTAGTACACCTGCCACTTTTAGCATACTTTCTAATATATGCCCAATATCACATATATAAGTGTCCTTTCAGATGTTCCTTCTCTATCCTCCAATTCAATTTTCAGTGAAATTAACCCTTCAATTAAAATTATTTCTCAGCCTATGATCGCCTTTACAGAAGCTGTGATGATACTAGCATTTTTTATTTCATTGTTACCCTCAGCCTCCTATAGCTTGAGGAAACACAACCATTCTTTAAAACATTAGCATGACAACTTCAGTTTATTTGGCATATCATTTAGGTGAGTGGAAAAGGTGGCCTGTCAAATCCCAGAAAGGGTGTGGCATCAGCACGGACCCAACAGGATAACAAAAATCAGCCCTCCTAATTTTAGCACTAGCCTATTATGCTAACCCATTAAAGCATGTGGTGGAAGACGGTCCTTTCAGGGTCTTTGTTCATTTTTTTTTTCCCCACACAAGTAATGCACGCCATGCACAGTTCTTATACAAAATTCAATTTTGTTTTGAATTTTTTTCAGGCTTAAAATGTTTGTGAGACTTCAAACAACCAATCTCTATTTTCCTCCTGTGTTTAAGCGCGTGCGCGCACACACACACACACACACACACACACACACACACACACCCCACTCCATTAATTAAAACCTAACAGGCTAGATTAAGTTCTTAATTATCAACCCAGCCTTTGACTTATTCTGCTTCTGGTACTGGCCAAAACTGTCTAAAAAGTTTTGTTTTCCTCTTTAAGGTAGATGGAAGAAATCAGGACAACAATCAAACCACTGAGAGTATCTGTATTTTGAAAATACAAGTATCACTGAGGACAAAATTTAAGATGTTCATTTTCCCAATGATGAAATAAATATGACTAGCTCTGATGGGCAATCTAAACTCAAGAGGTCTAACTTTTCTGCATAACCTTTCAGAACTTAAAAGACCCCTGGCACAAATCACCAGCTAGCACCCCTTCTTAGAATTAGAATTTAGCATACACAATGCAATGGCTAAAGATACCCTTACAGAGTTACAACCACAATTAAAGAAAAATCATAGATAGCACAGATAACACTTAAGAACAATGACATACAAGTTTAAATCAGGAGGGCTAACTGACTTTCCAGGAGAATAGGTTAAAAAAAAAAAAATTCCAAGTTAAAATAACTGAAAAGCAGGGTCAAACAGCAAAACTCTTCTAAACTGCCTTGAGCCCTAAACTGTCATAGTAATTTAAAACTTAATGTTTCTTACTTGAGACAGTTTGTCTCCTGAGATACTATTCAGAATGAAGACACTGTTAAGATGCAAAGACATTTTCTACTACTACTTAAAGGGTTCTTGGAATTCTCCCAAGATCCAACCATGCCCAAGGCAACATTAAGTCTATACTTGATAAAATTCAGTTATTGATTTTCAATTCACTACCTACGGTTTCCTTCTCTTAAATAATTTTGTGAAAGATTTACTACCAATTTTGAGTAAATGCCTCTTCCTGGGTCTGGTGACACTGTTATAAATGAAAATACAAAGACTACCTCCCTAATGTTTTTGGTGATACCTTTTCCAAGAAAAGCATAATTGCATTCTATGTCTAAAATCAAAGCTGAATTCATACAATGATGCCTCCAATTCAGTGTTTACTCTGTAATGCAAGGACCTATGCTCTTACTCATTAGAATCAAATATTCCATGGCTGCATCCAAAGCACTCAAAGGAAAAATGTAATCTGACAACATAAAGAATAGTCCCCCTATAACTGTTTATTAGAATGTGAATATATTCCAAATCAATAACTAAAAAATAAAATAAAGATAAAAATAAATCAAGTTACAGAGCATGCATAAAATACAAAGTAGCGATTTACAAATAGATAATAGTATCTTCATAACCAACCAATACACTAAAATAAATGGCTACAGAAGAAAACCAAAAAGACTGACCACAGCAATGCCTTCCGTGTGCCCCACACATCATAAGCACTGCAAAAGACTGATTAACTATGAAACATAGTAATCTATGCAAGCCCACACACATATATATTTTTGTATTTGGGGGATATTCCACCATCCTGAATAGTATCACTTCAGTTGACACAACTTTCAGAACACTGCAGAGTAAGTGCTTAATATTATCCACAAGAAAGGAAAACTCAGTATTAGTGTGCACATTTCTAAATGGGAAACTAGTTGCTCCATTGATTTCAATAATGTAGTGGGAAAAAGTATTTCAGGTTGGTATAATGCCTAAATACATTCTATTTAAACTCAAGGTACTACGTACTAAAAGAATACATGCCTTTAAGTGGTACCACTTGAGCAGAAATTAACCTCTCACTGTATTCCTAGACATACTGAAACCAGAAATTTAACTGGACTGTATTCCATAATATATTGCAAACTCAACATCAGCATTGTTAAAATAATTATCCATGCCTGCTGATAGATATGGTGATAAAACTACGTTGCGTTTCATTTACTGGAGGGTTTTAAGACAAAATTAACACTTCACAATTTGATACTAACAGCATTAAACCAGTTATTGCCTGAGCAATAAAAGGCCACATAACCTACTGCTGGCAAAACAGGTAGGCCCAGTGATTTGGGCTGCCTGATCACTGCAACAGAGGCATCTCAGATGGAACTCCACCAGTCTCTCGAGTTCCCAGCCTGCCAGGCAGCGTTGTTGAACATATGGCTCCATAACCACACTGCTACTGAAACCATAGAACAGTCTTTCATGTTTATTAAGATAATTCTTGTCCAGAAAAAAGTGTCCCCCCTCTCTAATCAACTTTGATCCTTACAAAAATTAAAAAACAAAATTTACTAAACTACTTAACCCTATTAAGGCATTTTAGAAATTGACTTCCAGAATAATGTAAAATTTTCAAGCTCTCAAAATCTTGCTGTGTTTATAGAGCAATTCTTAGATTTGTGGAAATATACACTGCATTGAGAGAAGAGTGTATGAATTATAAGCTGCTCATTATTCGCTGCTCTGTGGCAAAATGATAGCTTATTTCTTCTAAGGTCTTCTTAGTTTGATTTGATCAAGACCAATAGGTCTGAGCTTCAAGCGATCAAGTTCTATTATGTCCTACAGTGACAGGCTTCCATGATGAAAAGTAAACAATAACTGAGGAATCCAAACATTCAGTTTATTAAACTAAGGCTAGTGAAGCCATAGCATGAAAAAAAAGCTGCAGTCATTTGGGACAAGTGGATGATTTTATAAAGCTAAAATCAAAAGACTTAAGACATGAAAAAATTCATAAGTATGAGGAAGTAATAAAACACAAAGTGACCACAAGAATTACAAATATATTTAAATCTCAGACCTGGGAAATGGACTATACACAGCCTTCTAGGGGAGAAGAGAAACGCCTTATATGTTCTGACAGCACTGCACCTTTGGCTTGTTTTCAGTGGTTGGTGGAACATGAATAGGAACCACGTTGTTGCTTGGAGACATGTCATTTTCACGTCTGTCTGACATTTGCTTCTGGGAAACAATGCGGTAGATCTCTGAAAAAAGAAGAAAATCCAGCAATACTCACTGTGAATAGACTCATTAATAGTTGATATAAAAGTAAGTACACAGAGGTAGAAAATAGATTTGCAGAAAAAGACTGCAAACAAACTTGGCCAAAGAATGTATAAATTTAAGTTTTATTTTCAAATAGCCACTGATTAGTCAATCCATTATTTTAACAATTTCTCGAAGAGTAAGAAGAGAAAAACTGGTTTTCCCGTTCACCAGTCAATTAAATAAATCTTGTTTTAAAGAGATTACATAGTTTATGGGCTTAGATGTAAATTAAGCCATGAGAGAAAAAAAATAAATAATAAATATTAAACTATGAGAGTATTTTCAGTCTACCCTTATCAAGAAACCCTACATAGCATTACACTGTACCACAGAAAAAAAAAAATAAATCTGTACTATGAGACACATTAGTATTTTTCTTGGCTGTGTAGGGAAGAACACAACTTCACCAACATGCCAAAATCCCAAGGACTCTTGGAAAGGAGAGAAAGATGACGTTTATCACTGTCTCCTGAACTAAAGTTAAATTGTAATGAAGTAATTATTAACAAGCAACTTAAGATCTTATATGACACTTACCCAAACTTAAAAAAAAAAAAAAAAAAAAAAAAAAAAAAAGAAAGAAAGAAAGAAAGAAAGAAAGAAAGAAAAGAAAATCTGTGTCTACCTCTTCCACTAAACATTAAACTCTGTATAGACACTGTGTCTACCTTATTCATTTCTGTATCTCCAGCATATGGCATATAGTAGCGGCTTAACAATTTAATAAGCAACTTTTTGGTCCAATAAATGTTATGAAATTCCTCTACACCAAGTATCTTTAACTCATTTTATTTGGTCATATATTGCACTGCCTAAAAGTATTTCACTCTAAATTATAAATTCCTTACAAACAGAGAATGTATCTTACTTATCTTTATTCTCTCAAGACAAAAACAAAAACCTCAAAAGGTAAGAGAATTCTAAAAATGGGACAAACTGACATGATCTATCTCCTATTATGATGTACTACGAAAGACACAGTGCATTCCTATGAAGGATACCTGTGTATTACTGCCAAAAATGTTTAAAATGAATTTATCCTGAGAAAACAATTAGATAAATCCAGACTAAGGGACATCCCACAAGGAAACTGGCCAAGAGTCTTCAAAAACTTTGTTGTTATAAAATACTTTAAAAGATGGGGATAGGGGCGCCTGGGTGGCGCAGTCGGTTAAGCGTCTGACTTCAGCTCAGGTCACGATCTCACGGTCCGTGAGTTCGAGCCCCGCGTCAGGCTCTGGGCTGATGGCTCAGAGCCTGGAGCCTGTTTCCGATTCTGTGTCTCCCTCTCTCTCTGCCCCTCCCCCGTTCATGCTCTGTCTCTCTCTGTCCCAAATAAATAAATAAACGTTGAAAAAAAATTAAAAAAAAAAAAAAAAGATGGGGATAAATGTTCTGCATCTGTAGTGTCCAATACAGTAGTCACATATTTAAATAAAATTTGGGGCACATGGGTGGTTCAGTCAGTTAAGCATCCGACTTTGGTTCAGATCATGATCTCATGGTTCATGAATTCAAGCCCCGAGTCTGGCTCTGTGCTGACAGCTAGGAACCTGTAAGCCTGCTTCAGATTCTGTGTCTCCCTCTCTCTCTACCCCACCCCCACTCGTTCTCTCTCTCTCTCTCTTTAATATTTTTAAAAAATTTTTTAATTGAATTAAATTTAAAAACCAATTTCTCAGTCCACTAGTCATATTTCAAGTGCTCAATAACAACCTGTGCCCAGTAGTTACTGTATTTAATAATGCCCCAGATAGAAAACAATTCCATCAATGTGCGACCTTTGACCAAAATGACATTTAAAATGTAAAAACCAAATCTATAAAGGACATTATTAGTATACTTGAAGAAACAGGAATATGAACTGCACATAAGCTAACACCATATCTCCCAAGCACAAGGCATTCTACGTAGTCACAATACCATGTATTATACTTGGCATTCTACATAATCAAAATACCATACACTCAAGGAATTATTCTACATAATCACAGTATCATATATTATATTCAAGAAATTTGTTACTTGAATATATTGTACTGATTATATAGAATGTCTTATACTTAGAAGATAAAATGCTCCAGTATTTATTTACTTGTAAAGTGCCACAATGTCTACAATTTATTTTCCGAAGATTGAGCAAAGAGGAAAAAGAGTATATACACACATGTAGAAATAAGCCAAATGTGGCAAAGTGATTGAAGATGAAAGGTTTAAGGTTTTCACTGTATTATTTCTATAATACTTGAATATTTTTAAATTATAAAGTTATAGGGTAAAAAAGAGAAAAGTAGAATTATATTTTCAAAATGCTCCAAGACATGTCAACCAAATAGGAACATCATTTGATTGGATTCTAATTTGAACTGTAAAAAAAAAAAAAAAAAAAAAAAAAAAAAAAAAAAAAAAAAAAAAAAAAAAAAAAAAATTGAAACAGAATATTGTAATATTGTTTGGACAAAGATGATAATAAGACATACTGCCAATTTTTTACTAGTTTTGCTATTTTGAGCTTAAGTCCTAATCTTTTAGATATACACATCATGAAATGTTTACAAATGAAATGATATAATATCTGGGATTGGTTTCAAAACAATAAGGGAGGGAAGAGGTGGAAGAAAGACTGGTCATGAACGGATGGCTGTTGGTGGCTACATGGGAAGTCATGATACTGTCCTGATTTTGGTATATTGGAAACTTTCCATAACAAAAAGTTAAAGAGGAAGAAATGTGTTAAATGAGTAATTCCTCCAAATTAAGAACTAATTTCCCTAAAGTTGAAAAACAGCAAGCTGTAGTCAACTGAGTATGTAAACTAGCAAAAATGCTGACAGTTATAATGTACCTTTTCTTACTTTTTTGTGGGGAGGGGAAGGCACCAAAATTTGTGTTTCACAAAGTTGACAGTGGTTCAAAGCTGAAGAAGGATCAAGGGAAAAACACTGCAATAAAGAAAGCCTACTGACTAGAATTAAAAAACAAAAACAGGATATGTAGTCTAATTCATTCAGATTCTTTTCATTGCAAAGAGACGGAACTGGAGTGTGTCAAGGGCAAAGGGAAAGACACTCATCCAATCAGGCTAGTGCCTAAGGAATAAAAACAATCATCAACTTACTATAAAACTACACTACTCATTCATTCTTTCTTTGTTTTCTCTTATCCCAAACTGGATGGCTCTTCTTTCTCAAGTGCAAATTATTAAATGGGACCCTCTACAAATTTTAACTTCTTTACAGGTCGTTTGGAAGATTAAGTTAGAGGAACCAAAACAAAAAAATCTTTTGCAGGCTCTTACATGAAAAGCAAACACTGTAAGAGGACAAGGCAGAGTTCTCAGAGAACATTAAGTTAAATATTAAAGAGGTCTCATTCCAAAGCAAGCAATTTGAGCAGTACTGTATAACTGGTCTGCAAGTACTACTGTACAGTTTTGTAAAAATGGATTAGGGCTACATTTGTTCCAGTCACCAAAAAGACATCCACTAATGAAAATGCCAAAGCAATCAATAGGAAAGTGTGGATCAAAAAAGTAAAAGAAACGGGCACTAAGATGCTACTCAAGTAATGTATTTAACATCTCCTGTGGCTGGGTGTGTCACTTAAAAGAAACCTTGATAAGAAAATAGCAAGCAGATACCTTCCACCTGGTATCTGATTAGAGGTTAAGTGGAAACAGAAACAGGACTAATAACCTGCTAAGCCAGATGCAAATATTTTCCTCTTTCAAGGGCATGTTCTCCTTTAGAACCAAATGTATGTGATACACCAATTCCTGTGCAGTCCCTTTTCAAGATGTCCAAAGGATAGGCAAAGTTAAAAAGAAAAGGAACTATTCTGTGTCGTTCTTGTATTAGGATCTCTCATAGATCTAAATAGAAGATAAAATATTAATGTAACATAGTTTTAAATATAACCAGGTAAAGTTAAATTAAAAAGACACATGCTTGAGGCGCCTGGGTGGTTCAGTCGGTTGGGTGTCCGACTTTGGCTCAGGTCATGATCTCATGGTCCATGAGTTCGAGCCCCACATGGGGCTCTGTGCTGACAGCTCAGAGCCTGGAGCCTGCTTGGATTCTGTGTTTCCCTCTCTGCCCCTCCCTTGCTCACACTCTCTCTCTCAAAAATAAATAAATATAACTAAAAAAAAAAGGACACGTATTTATTTCTATCCTAATGAAAGTATGGAGCTAGTTGCCAAGTAAACTCTACCGAAGTTAAATGCAATTGTTCCAAATTAGGGAACAAAAAGAGTTAAAAGTTCTCTGGGCCATCCAAAAATTGTGAAAATAACAGAAGCCTGAGTTGTTTCACTCACTATAGCCTTGGTCAGAATTTGTTAGGTCGTCTTCAAACCCACTGCTAACCATTAATTTTCTTAAACGTCAGAAAAGTGCTGATTTGATACAATGATGTATTTAAAAGGTTGCCACATGCCAAGAACAAAGATACTACACCTAATTAAATGATTCTCACTACTTTAACCATCTTTAATTAAAAAGATGACTTGGACTAACTAATTACTTGGAGAAACCTTGCAGTTATCACTTTAACCAAGTGATCAGAGTTAACATTACCAGTAATAAATACAACAAACCAATATCATGACCTTCTGATGGATGCACTAAGAGCACTTTTGTGGTGTTCCTGCTGAAAGTGCATAATCTGAGTTCAATTATGAGTGAACATGAGACAAACCCAAAATGAGGGACACTACAAAATAAATGGCCTGTACCCTTCAAAAAAATGTCAATAAACAAAAGAAAGACTAAGGATCTTTTCCTGATTAGAGGAGATGAAAGAGCTAGGACAGCTGAATGCAATGCATGATGTGATCCCAGAATTTCTTGTGCTAATTAAGGACATAATTGGAACAATTGGAAAAATCTGCATAAGGTCTGCAGTTAAACACTGATGTGGATTACTACCTACCTCTCTGATTTTTTACAAGTGCACTATGGTTATGAGAGAGAACATTCTTGTCTTTAAGAAATACACAGATACAAGAAAAAAAAATGCATACAGCAAGAGAAAGAATAAAGCAGATATGATAAAATACCAACATTTGGGAAACATGGGTGAAGGGTATCCGCAAATTCTTTGCACTACTACTGCAACTCTTCAGTCTGAAATTATCAAATTCAAAGTTGAATGAAAAAATAAGAGTATGGAAAATATAAATTAAAAACATCCCTTAATAAACTTGAGGATGAAGGAAGAAAACTGCACTGCAATGCAAAGGCTAGGCAATCCATCAGGTTCACTCGAGTACTAGCTAACTCCCTCTAAAAAATTCTATCAGTAACATTGTCATGGAGTTACTGTCAAATCTGTGGATGTCAAAAATGCCATGAATTTATTCTAAACAAGCAACACAATTAACTCTGGAGTATTAATGTAGGTAAGTTTTCCAACATCTAATTAATTTTTCACCTTAAAAATGAAAAAAACTATTTTTTTCTTCCAGCAACATCAAAATACAATGTAAATGTTCCCTTAATGCTGTTAACATTCAAGGCAGAATTAAACCTAAGGAGATTACTGTGGTCTTTCCTGTTGGTTTTTTTCCCCCTCCCTGTCTTCTCTTATTAATACTCCTACTGGTATAAAGCGAAGAAAAGTTTAGAACAAACATCCTAACACATGCAAAACAAGAGATGTCTGCTGCCATATGCAGTGACCTCCGATCCCACAGATTAATACTTTAAAGATTTATGGAGGAAGCTGAGAAAATAGTGAATATAGAGAGAAAAAATGGTAGTAAGTGAAAGTCTTGTTTGCTTTCAAGCAACATTAATCAAGCAATAACAAATGTTAAATCTAGAGTGAACTTTAAGAAAAATAGCCAAATGTCCTTCATCTTTAAGGACAAAACAGTTCAATTTTAAGTATATACCATACTTACTGATTACTTAGCTCATGTTTGAGTGGATCATTAAATTAAACGTTGCAAAATGACACATAAAATAGTGAACTGAAGATGGTCTCATTTTCACTTAGTATCAGAATAGGCTAGAAACTGAGATCAGAATGGGCTAGAATGCAGAGATGTGATGGGACATAAAAACTATTTCAACAAGGACTAAAAAAAGTGAGGTTTTCAGAGGCCTTAAGAGACTCACAGACCCTCAAAATGATTTAACTCACTCATTATTTAAGACACTGTGAATCTGAGGACCAGGGAGGTCCAGTGACTAGTTCAGTGACTAGTTACACAGGGAGTGGGAACAAAGTGATAAAAAGTAAAAACCTGTAACTCCTGGGTCTAAATTTAGTACTCTACATATTGATTTAATAGAATCCACACAAGCGGTTGTAAGGGAAAGTGGGATTTGCAGACACACTGCATATTTAATCAATTCTTCCTTGCTTCTAACAGTCTGTAATGAAACTTGACACAAAGAAGATTCTAAAGGAAAGCTACTGTGGTCCAAAGACTATTTATCCAACCTTAGCACCAGTTCTGTTAGTTACTATTTTTCTGATAACAGAGAAGAATTCTAATAAGATAGGTATGTAAATTACCAATATCTAGTTTATTTTTAATTAAGTTTATTTTCATGCTTTAACTGCTATTAGCTACTAATTCATCAAATGTCCACTCTGTACCAGGGATAGCTAAGTATTTTAACATGTATGAAGTCATGTACTCATTTTTGGAGTCTACAGATGTCTCAAGTGACAGTGTCTTCTCTGTGGGTTATAGAGACAAAAACCTTTAAGTCACAACAGCCAAGTCAAATCATATCACAAGGTATTTATTTATAAATATAAGCCCTCTCTCAAAAAAACAAAAACAAAATTCCCCAAAATTTAAGGCCTAGAAATGATTAAGTAACCTGCCTAAGCTTACAGAGCCATTGGTAAGTGAAGGAGCCAGGACTAAAACCCAAGTAAGGCTTCCAAGTCCATGCTCTTAAATTCTTGGGTTTGTTCCCTACATATTTCCAATATAAAATAAGACATTTACAAGTTAAAATCTGTGAATCCCGGAGAGCCTGGGTGGCTCAGTCAAGCATCTGACTTCAGCTCAGGTCATGATCTCAAGGTTCATGAGATCAAGCCCCACGTCGGGCTCTGTGCTGACAGCTCAGAGCCTGGAGCCTGCTTCAGATTCTGTGTCTCCCTCTCTCTCTGCCCCTCCCCTGCTCGCAGGCACCTGCATGCCTGCTTTCTCTCTCTCAACAAAAAATTTGAAAAAATAATAATGTTAATATATAATTTTAAAGTACTTTAAAACAACCAAAATACTTATTACAGGATTAAGATTAAACTTGCTGATAAATGTGGTCATTCTAATAAAGTCAGGGTAAATGTAAGTCAACACAAATACAATGCCTTCTTGAAATCCCTATGGTTGACCTGTCTGCACATCTACATTCTAGAACAGCATGAACTTTGTTCTTTTCCCACTACGTATTTAAACTTTGCTGATTTTCTCCACTTGCTGATTTTCTCCACAAGATGACACCTTGCTTCTTCTATAACAGGAGAATTTTACTGTTTTTTCATTTAAATTTTTAAGAATGTATTTTTCCCAGGGCACCTAGGTGGATCAGTCGGTTAAGCATCTGACTTTGGCTCAGGTCACAATCTCTGGAGCCAGTGGGAGCCTGTCCTATGCCACAATTTTGTGCTGGGATAAAACAGAGCCTGGAGCCTGCTTCAATTCTGAGTCTCCTTCTCTCTCTGCTCCTCCCCTGCTCACGTTCAGTGTCTCTCTCTCCCAAAAATAAATAAATATGTAAAAAATGTTAAAAAAAAAAAAGTAAGTTTTCCTTTTAGCTGTTTAGCAAATTTATTAACATCAGAACCAAGCAAGATTTTCTTTACTGAATTTCAAAGTATTTATGAAGCTTCCAGGATTATTTGTGTTTATTTATTTATTGATTTATTTGACAGAGAGAGAGAGAGCGAGAAGCAGGAGAGAATACTTCATGGGCACACAGGAAATATGCATAAGGAGTGGGGGAGGGGGCAGGAGAAGGCAGAGAGAATCCCAAGCAGACGCCTCACTGTCAGTGCTTGAAAGTTCTCGAGGGGCTCAAACTCACATGGCTAATAATTTCATGACCTGAGCCGAAATCAAAGAGTCCAACCTTTAACTGACTGAACCACCCAGGTGTTCTCCATACTATGCGATGATTTCAATATTCATCTTATGAAAATTTAAGGATTACTTTAACCGTTACTTTGTGCTTGTGACCACAAAGTACAGAATATCTGGAATGAAGTAATAACAGAAGTGAACAAATTATTTTCAAAGTACTTTTCCCAATATATACCAAATGAATTAGGATTAAAGCTCAACACGCAAGGGTTAACTAATTTTGTACTCTAAACAGTTCTTGCTATAGCAGCTCTTAAATGAGTCATTCTTAGATAGTGTGATATTATATAGTTTCATCACACATTCATAAAACTTCCACCCCCCACTAAAAATTGCAAAAATTAAGCTCCACTCGTCAGAATTGTCTGAAAAGCAGCTTCTACATTTGTAGAGTCTAGAGCAGAAGTCTCAATGAATGACAAACCATTCTTTTCTGGGGGGCGGGGGGGGGCAAGGAGTGGGGAGAGAGAAAAACTTCAGTCTTGTCAAATTTTACACAAGAGATGTAATACATTCAAACTCAAAAAGGAAATAATAAAATTTTGTAAAACCCAAGACCTCCCCAACCCCTTAAGTCGTAAGGACACCATTCTACTTTACTTTAGCAGATTAAAATAACAGTGAGAAATTTTCACTGGCTCCTTAATTAAAATAAACACTTGTTACATCTATCTACTACCAATGAATGGCAATGAGTGACACTACTCAAAAGGTAGTAAACTTATCAAATACTCCATTATTTCCATCCCTTACTGTCCTTCTCCCCATCAACCACATAATTATGATATAAACATGGATAGGTATGTATTTATTCACTTAAAATTCTGGAACTATATTATTTGAAATAAAGCTTCTTGCCTGTAAAACTGAAAAACTATTACAAAAACCTTTATTCACAGCCTAATCACTGGGAAACAGTCACAACCTTCACTAGCCAAGAGTGAATAATGTTGCCTTCCGATAGGCTGTCCCTACTGGAACAGAAGAAACAGGCAGATCCTCCACTAAAGCCAGAAAAGTTATAACTCCTACTAAACAGCCGCATTCTCTATCGGTCCTTGACACTCCCTGGGCCACTACTTTTCACACCCATATAGAGCAGCTTTGGTAAAACACAGACATAATAGAAAAAAAACAAGAAGCATAAAATAAACTGACAGGTATCATCTATTCCTTCCAGGGTCAGGAAAAAAAATCGGATTTATATTCAACTTTTGGCAGCAAAACTCAAAATACAATGTTTTAATGACTCAAGGTTAAGCAAAAGAGCCATACAGTCATCATTAACTTTCAGAACAACAATCCTTGCTGAGCACTGACGTTTGCTTTCCTGAAACTATTGTAAGCGATTACCCACACTGGAAAAGTTTCAAAACTGCAAGACGTACAGTAAGAAATACAGAATCACTATAATATCATGAAATTCATATCACTAACCTGCAAAAGCTCTTGCTTCATCTGTAGGTACTGCCCTGAGATGACGCAAATCACTCTTATTGCCCACAAGCATGATAACAATGTTACTATCAGCATGATCTCTCAGTTCTTTCAGCCATCGTTCTACATTTTCATATGTGAGATGTTTAGCAATGTCATAAACCAATAAGGCACCTACAGCTCCACGATAGTATCTGAAAACAAAAACATGTATTTAACTATTAGAAAAAAACTGCAAGACGGAAGGGGAACACCGTGAAGAACTAAATTTGTGGATTATATATTTTTAAAAGGACATTTATAAATAAATTTCAAAATCCTTATACTAGAATTCTTAAAAGAAGAAAAAAAAAAACAAAACAAAAAAAACCAGTTATCTTTTCCAATACCAAAAGTCAGCTAATTCAGTCTATTTCTCAGAACTTAAAAACTATGAGACTTACGCTGATGTTATAGCTCGGTATCGCTCTTGCCCTGCTGTGTCCCATATCTGTGCCTTGATTGTTTTCCCATCAACCTGGATGCTTCTTGTTGCAAACTCTACTCCAATGGTGCTCTTGCTTTCGAGATTAAACTCATTTCGAGTAAATCGAGACAAGAGGTTACTCTTTCCAACACCAGAATCTCCAATAAGGACAACTGATTAAAAAGACAAAGAACTCAGTGTCAGATAAATGAGGCAGACATATTCAAAATAACACCATGCTTTAAAGCAAAAAAGAGCATCAGATATTTTAAAACGAATGGGGGCGGGGGAGAGGGCAAAAGCCCATATTCCTGACCTGTTACCAATCAATAAAACCAATTTATTCTTTTTAACCTATTTCTACCTACATAATAACTTGCACACATCATCTGCTTAGCACAGATACAGTATCCTGCCTTACACATGCAATTTTTAATCGTAAGTCTGCTAGGCATTGATTAATTACCATCAATGTGATACCAACCTTACTATTATAGGAGGTAGTAGCTTGAAAGATAAATCCTACACCAAATAAACAATTTGTGATATTAAAGTGTATCATACAGGAAAGCAACAAAGGATGTTAGTAGAAAGGAGGGAAAGAATGAAAGTGTTCTAATTTCATCAAAGACGGTGTGATCTCAGGACTCACACCCAGGCAAAATGAAACACATTTACCATATGAGGCATGAGGTTTATATACTATGCCACCCAGATTACAGAAACTACAAAGAATTTTTCATAGTTGCATTTATCACATGGGCCAGAAGCTAGAGACCCCTACAAACACAGACATTCCAATTAAGTTTAACAGGGGCCCTAGGAAGCTAAGAATTCTGGACTTCCTCTGAGTAAAAGCCAAAGCAATGGGGGCACACACTTACTCTTATGACTTAAGAATTTTTTAAAAACAAGTTTGGTTTAGATGAATTTATTTCCTATGATCACTATAGGAGACAGTTTATTTACTAACTAAATATATGGAGATTTTTTTTTTCACCCAAGGCAATGTTATACTTAAGAATTTCATAAAAAGGGGGCACCTGGGTGGCTCAGTCAGTGAAGTGTCTGACTCTTGATTCGGCTTAGGCCATGATCTTATGGTTCGTGAGTTCGAGCGCAGAGCCTGCTTGAGATTCTGTCTCCCCCTCTCTCTCTCTGCCCCCCCCTCCTCCTGCTCTCTCACTCTCTCAAAATAAATAAATAAACTTACAAAAAAAATTTTTTTCATAAATAATAAAACAGGCAGTTAACCTGTTTTAAAGCATTTAAGAACAAAACACATTCACAGGTTTACAGAACATGAACTGAAAATTTTTACAAAGGAAAAAAACGTTATCAGCATTTCAAAAAAAATACTTATTTCTACTGTTGACTAGTAATGCTTCTTCTTACTAGGTAACTGATTTAGTCACCAGGACTAGAAAATCAAACATGAGAGAATAACACCAAGGAATAAGACCATATCTTCCTAAAGAGACTGAGATTGGGGGGCAGAGGAGTAGAGAGAGGGAGGTAAAAACTGTGAGAACACTCCACTCTGGTCAGAGGGCAAAGAGAGTCTATTACACATTCCTTCCTTGCCACAAGAAGGGATATAAGCTGGCCTCTGGACAGTCTTGGATGGAGTACATTATCAAATGCATATCTTTCTGACTTCCTCTATTAGCTGATTCAGCAAGAAATCATGCAGGTGGCAACAACTCCATGCAGTACAACCGGTAATTTCTAGCTATATAGTCAATTAGAGATGTCAAAGGTATTGTGACAAACACAGATATTATAGCAAACGCTCTAATTTCTAACACCAGGAAAGATGTTAAGGTCATGAACGTAACATATAAAAACAACGCACTTCCAGTTTTATAGGATGGCTGGTTATGTTACTTTCCAAGGTGCACCTTTCTGGAGATGAGGTCAAATCCAGTTTCAGCGATGTACTCTACCCTATTAATTGGATACACTCAGTGTTGCCTCTTAGGGCAAGAGACCTAATGTTCTGCTGAGGAATCTCTTTCAATCATTTCTGGCCCCACACTAGCACAGAGGTGTAAAAGCCTCACTTGAGGTGGGAATAAGGAAGAAGGGAAAAAACCAAAAAGTTAAAACATTTCTACTTTTACAGACACTCAGATGTCAATCAGTAATTCAGGAGCCAGCTTAAAGCCAAAGAGCAAGACATCTAGCATGACAAAACTAGACAAAAGCATGACAAAGCCTTTGGAAAATTAAATACATAACTCGCTCAAAGAACACCTTCTCCCTCCCACAAAACCTCTAGAACTTTCAAATTTTGGTTTCTTCTCTTTTGACCGCCATGTTAACTAATGATTATACTCATTATCTCCCCACCTCAGCATAAAGACAGTGAAGGCATTTTCCCCCTCAATGTAACCAATTCATTTTAACATTATAAAAAATTGCACTCTTATCTAAAAATAATTCAAGACTCATGAAGAATGCTTTATACAGTATAAAATAATTACCTCCGCTAGACATGGACAGAGTTGCCAGATTTAAAAGACTAACAACTTGTTAAAGGATTATATCTTGAATGACACCAAAAGATATTGGTTCTGTAATAACAGCACTGCCAAGAAGTGCTGAGAGATGACAAAATAAGGAAAGCTGGTTCTATTCAGTTACCAAATGAAAAATCAAACCAAGAAGGGTTACATATAAGGTCACTAAAAAAATAAACAGACCAGAATGGAATACATTACCTGAACAACCTAAGAGAATTTACAGGCTATGACTGAAAAAATAAACCAAAAATAAGTAAATTAATTAATTCATGGACTCAGTTTCTAATCAAAATAGCTTCTCTCATTAGGATGACAATATTTAATTGCTTTTTAAAAATGTGAACTATATGATCACATCCTATAGTTCAAAGAAAGGAATCTGCAGTGACTTTCCTGTTTTCCTTAACTAGTACCTTAGGTAAAAGTATGTATGTGTGTATAATAATATAAACATAAATAACAGCATCTGTATATTAGAGACCTATAACATTTCTAAAATAACCTAGTGACGGGGCGCCTGGGTGGCGCAGTCGGTTAAGCGTCCGACTTCAGCCAGGTCACGATCTCGCGGTCCATGAGTTCAAGCCCCGCGTCAGGCTCTGGGCTGATGGCTCGGAGCCTGGAGCCTGTTTCCGATTCTGTGTCTCCCTCCCTCTCTGCCCCTCCCCCGTTCATGCTCTGTCTCTCTCTGTCCCAAAAATAAATAAACGTTGAAAAAAATAAAATAAAATAAAATAACCTAGTGATATTTATTACCACTTGGTCAACCTCACCTGCTGAATTTTAAGTATCATTATAATACCTAATATTAAATTTGGTTCATAATATATCAAATATTAGGCTAAATGCCATAAAAGCAGAATATACATATTAATTATCCATTATTTAATAAAAAGTTCCACCTCTTCAACCACATTTAGTTTTACACACTCTTGCAAACTAATGTACTAGACTAAGATTTAATTGGAAAAATCAATCACAGTGCATCAGATCTAAATGTTATCATCTAAAATGGTTAACTGATAATTTTCATTCTGATTTTTATAAATAAACTTGGGAGACTTTTCTACTCTTTCAGCTATATTCATGGTCCTACTTCACTGAAAGAGTCTTGAAAATAAAATGCATTCAATAAGCCAATAAGGCTGTAGTCTAGACAAGTTTTTCCAGATTCAGCAGATTGTGAGTTGCTCAACCAAAAGTTGTGAAAGAAAAACTACCAAGATGCAAGACAGCAAAGTTCCTATGATCTTTTCCACTGACAATCAGCTGATGGTTAATTACTACTGACCTTCAACTAGATTGAAAAGAAAATGATGTATCTAAATATTTGCAAAAAATGTGACTTTGAATTGGTGTCTTCAACACCAATAGGAACCATGATTGATGCTCACTTATGTGTCCCACAGGCCATAACCACATTGTATATAAATACCTGTACAATTAAATAAAGCTTTTAAAGTAAAATGTCAAGTTTTAAACAGTAAAATAACCCCCCCCGACACCCAAAGTCTCATTGTTGAACTTAACTAATGTTCAAGAACGAATACGTAATGTAGAGTAACTGCCCTGCTCTCCCCAATTTTCATTCGCATTTGGACCACTACATCGCTTACTAATCAAAATATACCTTCATTTTCAATTGGTCAGAGTTACGAACTTCTATTTCCCTCAAATATTAAGTGTGCTATGTATGCGATCTTCCAAGTGGAGAGCTGTAGCTCATCTTGGTGAATAATCTCTGTAGAATGATACCATTTTAAAGTGATATTGCTGCTTTGCTTTAAAATATAATTGTATAAATTAAAAAATTGGCTAAATAATCAGCACTAAAGTTTTTTTTTTAAATGACTCATATCCTGTAAGAGCTTTAAAAAAAAGTGGAAATTCTTCTCAGCAAAATTTTTAAACACCCTATCTTAAACAGCAAAATGTACAAAAACGTACAACAAAATGAAAACATAACCCATAGAAACATAAAATACTTAAAAAAAAAAAAAAAAAGGAACTTTTAAAGAGAGAAACAAACAGGGGAGAGGGACAGAGGGAGAGAATCTTAAGCAGGCTCCGCACTGAGCGTGGAACCTTGAAGCGGGACCCAGTCCCACAACCCTGGGATCATGACCTGCGCCAAAATCAAGAGTTGGACACTCAACCAACTGGGCCATCCAGGCACCTCAAATTCCTACTTTTCAGTTTCTTTAGTAATACTTAAATGCTGTTATAAAGAGTTAAGGTTCAAAAAGCTGACAAGAACCACAGTAATTTTCTTCACATTATTATCCCTTACTGAGTCCTCATAACCAGTCTCATTGAATTCTGGAAAGAGTCCTGAAAGGTAGGTATTATTTCCTTTTTATAGAGGAAGGAACTGATGTTCAAAGGTCACAAAGCAAATTTAGGACCTGAATCAGAATTTGAATCCAGGCCTGTAAGCCCTATACTCTCAATCACTGTTAACAAGAATGGTCTAATCTCAAAATTAAGTTAAAATCTCTTAAACCAATCCAGGATACTTAATATTCTTAGTGGAAAAAAAAAAAAATGGCTTCTATAAACAACACTCAAGCTCCAAACCAAACAGGAGAAATACTGTGTTGTTAGTCTATCTTGTTTTAAATTCATCACTTTAAAGGTACCTAGCTGCCTACCACCTTGTACCTTAAGAAATAAACCTGATAATGACTAAACACTAGTCTCTAAGGTCTCACCTGCCTAAGTAATTTCACTTGACCTCAGATGCCTTCAGCTAACAGTATGCTAACATTTCCTTTTTGTATTTGTAAAATGCATTAAGTACTCTCTTCTCCGTTAATGACTTTCCCACCATGGGGTAGTGAGGGTGAATACTGAATGTAGTCACCCTATATAACAGAATATTCTGGCCCAGGAGTTAGCAGTGATAAGATTTGCAAAGTATTGGTAAAGCAAAGAAAGGTTTCCGGCTCCCTTTAGTCAATCATTCTTAGCACCCAATGGCAAGGTCAGAAACAATCACCATGCTTAACACTCTTTTTAAACTCCACCCTCCACTGTAAAGCTTTAATAGCAATGGCTTCTTCCTCCCAGGTAATGATCTTTGTTCAGCATACTACTTGATGGCTGCCCTAATTCAGAGGCAGAGAAAGAGCATCTGAGTGGGAACGCATTCAATGAACAAAAATAAAGCATTTACAGTTGTGTTTCTCATTGAAAACCGTACCCTTTAGTTTTGTTGATTAAAAAAAACCAACAAACTACTAGGATTCTTTCTGGACTAACCAATAAGCAATTCTTTCCATCCACTCCCACCCTCCAATATGTTTTGTCCAAGGGCACTACATGTTTCTCTATCTTGTATTACATACTTAATTTCACCAAAGAGCACACAACTTCCCCCTAGTCCCCACCTTTTGGGAAAGGTATGTGGCCAACTAAGACTCTTCCCTTCCTGTTCTAAAAACACCAAAAGGTTGGATCCTCCCAGTGTTGCAGCAGGAAGCAACCAGTCCATAGTGATAAAGCAAGCTAGTATTTGTGCAGCGCACAACCTTTCCTGCTCAGGAACTGGGCCTTCAGGTCTGGCAAGGATAACAGCCACCACCCATCCGCAACCCCTTCTCGCTAGCAGACTCCATAGAGTTATCCCGGGCTGGCTGCCGCTGGGTAGGGAGGGTAGGAGGAAAAAAGCCTAGATGGGAAGTCACAACAGTCTGCCGGGTCACTGCGACAAGTGCGCGCGTGGGTGATGGACAATCCCTCTTGCCCTACCCCCCACCCTCGGGGTCGCACAGGAGACGTCGGAGAGCTCTTGATTATTTGGGGAGGAAAGGCAGAGAAAGAGCTACCGATCCCGGGGGCAGTGCGAGAAGGTTACTGACCACGAGACCTGTGGGGCGGGTGGGGGTGGGGGCCCCTGGCCCGTTCAGATTTTAACGAGGGCCTGGCCCAGGGATGGTAGAAAACTGCTCAGAGAGGCTTCGGTCCGAGGGGAGGGGCTGAGAGGAGACGCAGAGGAGAGGCTCGCTCGAGGGGAAAAGGGGGGCAGATTAGAAAAAGACCTGTAGTGGGAGTCTGCGCCGAAAGAAAGGTGAGCGAGGGGAAGGGCCGGTCAGACGGGCTCGGGAAAGGAGCGAGCCGAGAAGGGTGTATACTGAGCGGGAGGGGCGCCAAACCCGAAAAGATAGATGGTGGGAGGGGCGGCCCCCTTCAAGGGGCCACCGAACCGGGGAAGGAAGACGATTGGGGAGAAAGCTGCCTGCCACGAGAAGGACACAGGGTGAGGGGCGCTGAGGACAGTGAAGGCCTAAGGGGAGGTCGCTAAGAGCCCGGCGTGTGCCGAGGGCTCCCCGTCTGAGGGGAGAAGGACTGAGTTGGGAGACCGCAGAACAAATCGCACGGAGAGGAAGGGCTGAGGAAGGCCGATTTCAGGGCAGGGACAGCCCGCACGCGGGTCCCCCGGGAGTGTCTCGGGCCCCCGAACGGGGGACTCGGTGAAGAGAGTGGGAGAGCCCAGGGCCTCACCTTTGAAGAGATAGTCGTACTCGTCGTCGCGGGTGCCCATTGCGCGGCCGAGGAGCGAAGGGGCGGGAGCAGCAGTGGTATCGGTGGGACCAGGGGGCGTCGCTGCAGGGGTAACCCGAACGCCGAGCTTCTGCCGCCGGACAGGGTAAAGAACCCCTCCCTGCCGCTACGCCACTTCCGGCAGGCCCCAGCCCCTAAGGGGAAGTACTTCCGGGAGGTGGCGCTCCGCCCCTGTGCCCAGGAAGGGCGGTTCGCGGGAGCTTTGCGTCCGTCTTCAAATTCTGCCCCCTCCAAGACGCTTAGAGGGGAAACTGAGCTCTGGACTCCCAGCTCCTAGCGGCAGCTTGTCACCCTTTTAATGGCCTCTCTCTCATTCCTCGCGCCGCCATGCGGGGAAGCGGGGTGTTGGGAAGAGCTTTAGCCCCGCTTGTTCGTGGTAGGTTTGTAGATGGGGGCGGGGTTGTGTAAGAATTAGAGAGCCCAAGGCGGCCCTTCTTCTGTGGCGGTTCCATGGTGTAATGGTTAGCACTCTGGACTCTGAATCCAGCGATCCGAGTTCAAATCTCGGTGGAACCTGCGATGTTCTCCTTTTTCTTGACCACGTTTTTACTTCATTTACCTATTCACCAACTGATTGTTTTATAATTGCGGTATATATGGCCTTGAACTATTGAACTAAGTAGGGAAAGAATTTCTCTAAACATAATCTTTGCCTACGAGAGCTCACAAATTTCCCCCCTTCGTTTCTGTAGTCACTGTCACCTGCGTGCCTCCTAAGGAGACTGTTTACTTCGCCTTCTTTTTAACTTGGGTTTTTCTGCCTCACAGCTTACTTCCAAAGCTTCAATGCAACTCGATTCCTTTTGCTAGAATTTCAACCTCCAACTTCATTCAAGGACAGGCGCTTTTCCCTCCTTTTCTCTGGAAATCTCAAACTATCTCCAGATGTCATTTAGAGAACTTCGCCCACCCTCCTCATCAAGATTCATCAAGAACTTCTTGAGCCGTATTTGTCATCCTCTAAGCTAAACCCGTTTACATAATTATTTCATTAAACAAGCAGAGACGAGAGTGGCAATTTTCATTTTAGCAGAAATGTGGATACTAAGACTTAAGTGACTTCCCAAAGATCGTGCAGCAGGGCCTCCCTGTATTTGGTAAGAGCTTTGTTATTACCAAACGTTTTTCCCGTTTGCTGCCATACCCCCTACCACCTATATGCAAACCTTCAATTTAGACTTTGGGGCAAGGATACCTGTGGTGAGCAGAATAATGGCTCCCTGAAGATGTCCACTTCCCAATTCCTGGGACCTGAGAATAGGTTAAATTACATGGCAAAGGGAAATTAAGGTTACAGATGGAATTAAAATTGCAAATCAACTGACTTCAAAATAGGAAGAGAGCCTACATTCTCCAGGTGAGCCCAATTTGTAACAGGGATCCTTACAAGTGGAAAAGTGATGTGGTGTGAGAAGAGCTCAATCAGCCCTTGTGGCTTTGAGGATGGAAGAAGGGGACCAGGAGCCCAGAAATTTACAGGCTTCTAGAAGATGGGAAAGGGAAGGAAATGGATTCTTCCCCATGGCCCCCAGATGGAATACAGCCTTGCAAACATCTTAATTTTAGCCCAGTGAGACCACCATGCAGAATTCTGACTCACAGAACTATAATAAATTTGTGTTGTTTGAAGTCATCAAGTTTGTGGTAATTTGTTACAACAGCAATAAGAAACTTATCCAGTGTCATTTTTAGTGCTTTTTGTGATAGTATAAGCAATAGATGGTTTATCTAAGGTCTAGATACTGCCTTGTGCAAAGGTAAGTATTATCCACGTTGGGGGAAATGCACAATATTCACAAGCAGCTAAATATTACATGTACCACAGATTATAAGACACAGTCCTAGCTCTACTCAGATGAGTAAACAAAAGGGGCCCAAGAAAAGGGGGATATCAATAACTAGGCAGTTGTGAAGATGTCATTAATGAGAGTTGTGGTGATAAGTGCCACAGTTCAGAGAGACTGAAATAATTAGGAAGGATTCCCTGGAGGAACTAGCATTGACCCCCCTGAAGAAAAAAAGCAAGGAAGGAAACTCATTTTGAACAGTGGAGGAAATCAGACGCTAAAAAACATGTTGAGCAAGGCCATTAATGCCAGAAGAATAATTATGAACTTTTCCGCTTAAGCTATTGTTTCTCAGAGTGTAGTCCTGAGAAGGTCAATAGTGTTACTTAGAAGAAGGATGGCATGGCCAAATAAATTGAGAAGAATTACACAGTCTCCTCCACTTTAGAAGTTCCCTTAGCACAGTGGCATTTTAAAGTCTAGGTATTTCACTCTGAAGAAGGCTTTTTTTCACTGTGTTAAACACAGAATTTCCCAGATTCACCAAGACCACAGACCTCTTTTTCCATGGAACACCTGTTAGCATCCCTCTGAACTCTGGGGGAATTCATAAAAGATTTGTGGACAGAGGGATTATTGAAGTCAACCTGGTCTTAGGAAAAGTAAGGTGTCTGTGGACTGCAGGATTGGGGTAAAGAAAGAGGTGTGAGGGGCGCCTGGGTGTCTCAGTCAGTTAAGCATCCGACTTCGTGCAGGTCATGATCTCGCGGGTCGTGACTTCGAGCCCTGAGCCTCGCATCGGGCTCTGTGCTGACAGCTTGGAGCCTGGAGCCTGTTTTGGGTTCTGTGTCTCCCTCTCTCTCTAACCCTCCCCTGCTTGCTTCCTCTCTCTCTAATAAATAATAAACATTAAAAATTAAAAAAAAAAAAGAGGTGTATCAGAAGGTTATTGCAATTAACCAGACACAAACCAATAGAAATGGAGTACATCTATTAGAATAGAGAAGAAAGAAAAACCAAAGGCTGTTACAGAAAAAACAGTGAATGGATCCCTTGGACAAAGAAGAGAGGGTTTTATGTTCGTGTTTTTTTTGTTTTGTTTTGTTTTTTGCAGGAGGGTTAGTAATTGCTTGATGTGTCTGTTTTAATCGCTCAAGAAATCTAGGAATTTAATGTAAATGACTTAAACAATACGGAAATATAAAGTAAATCTTTTTTTTTTAAGGATTCTATTTTTAAATAATCTCTACACCCAACATGGGGCTCAAACGTACAACCCTAAGATCAAGAGTCACATGCTCTGCCAACTGAGCCAGCCAGGCACCCCCAGAAATATGGAGCAAACCTTTTAGGGCCTCCTCCACTTCAATAATTCCTCCAACCCCAGAG